GACCCCAATTTCACGGTCCACTGAACGTAGAAAATGATAGTGCGAGTGGGACATCCGTATACTATGGACACATTCTTGTTAACCATTGCGGCCAAATTGATTAATTGACAGGAACAAGAAAAAACCACATGCTTTATACTAAAAACCCCAAGCGACAAATTCGTCAAAATTTGGGTTAACATTGGTCTGGTATTTTAAGAGAAGATTTTTGAAAAGTTAATGACGACCGATGCCGAGTCATGGCTATAGCTCACAAAGTCTGTAGGGTCAGGTGAGCTTAACAAATCTTTTCATGGTTGTTTTAAGTTGTTTCTTGTACTATTCTATTACTAATATAAGACAGAAACTAGTTTTTGTGTGCTTAATGTCAAGTGTAAAATATTACACTCACCAAGAATCTATACAGTTTGGATTTACAGTTGGTCTGTACTCGTCATGAATATACATGAAGTGCCGTTAGTTGAATTAATATGTTAGCAAAAGAAAAATCAATAAATTATTTTATTTATATGGAAAGGTCCCCTTTAGGTCTTTATACAAGTGTATATATTTTATGCCAGGCTTCATTGTATTTCCTGTCCACACAAGTTATGAATTAGAGACTACCAAACATCTCCATCTACACAAAATTACTGAATGGACAAAGTGATACAAAATAAACGACATGCTCTGGACGGGCTTTTTTTTCATACATATTACTGTAAATATTTGAAATGATGCATCTTTTGTCATCTGATAAGTTATAAAGACAGACGAGGTCAGAAGGGGCGGAAGACTCAACGAGCTTCTCTTAAACACTCTGATAAGTTATAGACAAACGAGGTCAGAAGGGATGGAAGAATCAACGACCTACTGCTTTAACACTCTGATAAGTTATAAAGACAAACGAGGTCAGAAGAGACGGAAAAATCAACGAGCTACTCTTAAACATTCTGATAAGTTATAAAGACAAACTAGGTCAGAAGGGACGGACGAATCAACAAGCTACTGCTCAAACACACTGATAAGTTATAAAGACAAACGAGGTCAGAAGGGACGGACGAATCAACAGGCTACTGCTTAAACACACTGATTAGTTATAAAAACAGGCGAGGTCAGAAGGACCGGAAGAATCAACGAGCTACTGCTTAAACACACTGATTAGAATAAAGAAAGACGAGGGCAGAAGGGACGGAAGAATCAACGAGCTACTCTTAAACACTCTGATAAGTTATAAAGACAGACGAGGTCAGAAGGGACGAAAGAATCAACGAGCTACTGCTTAAACACACTGATAAGTTAAAAAGACAGACGAGGTCAGAAGGGCCGGATGGAAGAATCAACGAGCTACTGCTACGGACGAATCAACAATCTACTGCTTAAAACACTGATAAGTTATAAAAACAGGCGAGGTCAGAAGGACCGGAAGAATCAACGAGCTACTGCTTAAACGCACTGATAAGTCATACAGACAGACGAAGTCAGAAGAGACGGAATAATCAACTGCCCAAACACACTGTTACGCATTTTACAAATAAGGAAATGATATAAAGGCGCCATAGTTGGAGACAAATGTAATTGTTACTTTCTATTTTTTAGAATTAGCCCTTTCAGTTTTGCAGCAACCAAGTAATAGTATTTGCAGTAATAAGCAAGGGATGTACAAGCACAAACTGTCTCAGATTTCTAATACCATGTTTATTTACGAAATAATGGCTAGATCTGTATTAATTTAAATGACCTTATAAATCATTCTTTTTTTTAAATTGATTTATTTTTAACTGGACCTTATATGAAATAAGTACTCTCAGATAGTATTTTTTGTCTTTAGTTTGTTCTAATGTTGTGCTGTTTCACCACTGTCCCAGGTTGTAGAAAAGGGGGGCTGGCGCCAGCAAGCATGTTTAACCCTTCCACATTCTGTATATGCCTGTGACCTTTAGTAACTGTTGCTAGCATCTACCACATTTGATATCTGGTGACTAGTTGTCTCGATGGCAATTATACCACCTCTTCCTTATTTTATTAATACTGATACTTTCTATATATATTCATATATAAGCATATATTGTATGACTATTCATGACGTCAACGAATTCTAGAATTTTCTAAGGTTGGGGGAATATAATTTTCAAAAGTGCGTACAAACTGCATTTGTAAATAAACGCAAAAAAAGTTTTATGCATGTGAGGTAGATATGTTAAATGGAGAAAAAATTGCACAAACTAAACTATATGTAAATCTATTTCAGTTTGAGCCACGCGTTTTCCTGAATATCCGACAAATTCGTTCCTTTGATATTATAGATTATACATACTGATTCTCAAAGAGGCGACACACAGAACTAAGCATCGTCTTATTTGCTGGACATTACTTACATAATTGTAATAATGATTACATTCATAATATGATTACTAAAGTCGTTCAAGATACCCCCAGATATATATTCTATGAAGACATTCAATTTCTTTTATATCATACAACTATTCAAAAAATCTAGACAATCTGGTGCAAATATCTACAATATTTAATAAAAATGTCCGTCTATATTATAAAAATCGCGTATTTATGCATGTAATGCGACAGTCTACATGTAATAAACCAACTAATACAGTCCGACAGGCTCGATTTATTTGATAAACAATATGTATCATTTATTTCATATTTGATATAAAACCTTTTTTTTCAGTATTTGAGTTAAGATGATTAATGGAGATGGATGATATATATATTGGATCTTCATGTTATTTTAATTTCAAATAGATATACAACAGTCTGGCATGTAATAACCAAACGTGCATAACTTTTCACCAATTATAGTTACTTTAAAATAAGACTTGTTATAACTCCAAATGAGACAATGAAAGATCCTCCAAAGACCACATAACAATGGTGTGAACAGCTACAGAAATTTAAGGTATTAACGTAGAATTTGGGATTTCAGTATCTCGGTATAGTGCTGACGCAAAACAATGATAAAATTGTTGGCTGCTATCTTATCAGGTGAACAAAATACGTTTCCAAAGAGATTTGAATTGCTTAACTGTCTGGATATAGTTTTCAATTATCTTTTATCCGCTGTCTCTCTTCTGCAATAAGCGCTGCAGTAATGCTTAAGTTAATTTTTGTACTACACTTTCTATATGTAGAAACAAACAAAAATGATGTTGCTTCAACCCTTGAACACATGAGGAGCTATTTTACCAAAAGGCACCTAAAACATGTAGAAGGAATAACAAAATCAATACAATGTCAAATTTGAAGGGAACCATGGTTTCTTAGAGTAGCCAGTTGTCTCAAAAATTGAAACTGTAGAAAAAAATGCCTGACGTACTTGATTATAAGCCTGGTATCTTTGGTGAGTTTTTCGATGTAAAAGCTCGAAGACGTTTCGTCCCCGAGGGTATCACTAGTCTAATATGCTCATATTCCCTGTCAGTGTTTTATAGTGATGGGGCACTGCCAGGGAATATGAACTTGTATCCCCTGTGAAGTCCGAATAACATTTAGATGATGCTAGAGTGTCCTAATTTCAACATTAATATTTTCGTTTTGATGTACGATTTTAATCACACGGTATGTGAGCTAAAATACTCTGTAAAGGTAGCTACTCAAGTTGCACGAGCGTCCGGTATGTTTCACTCCAGTATAATATCAAATTATTATTTCATGTTAACCCCAACTAACTAACGAACGAACGGTCGCACGAACTATTTAACAATACACATATGTATGTTCGGGTTGATACCTCCGTTATTCGGAGCTCCCATTGAAAGCTGAGAGGGTACAGTGGTATCCATGAACAGGATTAATGGAGATGTGTCACTAACATAAAAACAACCACCACCAAGGACAAAATCCTCAACCCAACACCAAGGGAGTGCAAGGAAACCGGGAAGTCTGTTGTTATGGTGACGGAAGCCGTAGTACCCGGAGAGAACCACCGGGCAACTCGGCGGGAACAGACAAACCGAAGAGATATCTGAAGATTGATCTCCTGGTCAAAGTCGGCCACTTCGACCAACCGAGGCTCCCAAAGTACCCATTCTAGTTTAAACTCCGGTATGGGTACCAGAGATGTATGTGGGAGGGTGAAAATCACCCTTCTAATGTGCTGAAATTTATGGTTTTTTGTCTGAGTCAGAAAACATTATTTTTAAGTTTTTCGACGCTATCAATCAAATTTTTTTTTTCAAATTTAACACTATAAGGTATGGGGATTCAGAATAAATTATTTGGTCATCTGCTTGACCACAATATTTCTTTTCATCAAATTGGGTATCAGAATATTTTTAAGGAAAAACCATAACACCCCCCTCCTTTCCCCCTCTCCCTTTGATTGATTGATTGAGTGTTGGTTGCTTTACGCCGCATTAGCACAACAAGGCTATATCGCGGCGACTCTCCCTTTGAAGTTAAATGGTCGTTCTACCAAATAACTAACAAATTAACAATCTAACAAACTAACTAACACATCGTAACTAACTAACTAACTTATACTTGATACAAAACTAACAATTTGAGACTATAACTAAATAAAGACATGGAACAATTACACCAATTCATATTCAGCTTTATTATTTCGACCGACGATGATTTTCTGGCTTGATACAATCAATGAGGGTAGGAATGCCCCTTTACCGTCAGGTGTCAAACTGTCATTTTCGGCTACAGTTAGCGTCAAATTGGTTAAAATTTGACCGTGGTTCGTCAAAATATCCTTATCGTGATTCGTCAGAGGTCTCAAATAATTATCGTTACCGTTATTTTTGGAAACAAATTAACGACTCATTAACGTGATTCGTCAAAATCAGTAGATTTTTTTATCGTCTAAAAGAAAGTGTATATTTTATCGTCATGTTCAAAAAATTACCGTTAACGTCCTTTAGCAAGAATTCTTACCGTTATTCGTCATGAAGATACCCCCATTACGACCCTCATCAAATGCATTCTGATAATTTCCGGATATATTGTGGCTAGTCCGGGATATTGAAAATTTAGGTTTTGTCTCTATCAGCTAGACGTTTGGTACCAAGAATAATTTGCACCTAAATTAGTGTTGTAAACAGACTTTGATGAGCGGAAAAAATAGATTTGTTTGGGAAAAAATCTGAACTATTTTAGCCAAATTTAAGTGACTTTCATCGTTAAAAGGATTTGAAATGTAAGTGATTTATGTGAGACAGTTGCTGCCTGTGAATGAGGACAACTTCCGTTAACTAGCTTTTATAACTCAATATGATGCAGGTGCTATGACAAAATTATGTAGGTGCTACATAATTTTAAAATTGTTGTACCTGCGGGCTGTGAAAGAGTACAACGCCGTAAAAAATAATTGTTTAAAAAAAAGTATTTTTTTATTAAAAATTTAAACAACAGTAAAATGTACTAAGGCTATAATTATTTTGGATTAAGGTTCATCATAACAAATCGACAAATATGGCTGTATTTACACCTCAAAAACTACTCTGTGTAGAGACCTACCTGTGCAGTTTGGAAAGTTTTAATGTCTGGCATCCACTAGATATATAAGATGTAAATGCATTTTGTGTTTCAGAAAACTGAAATCATTTCTGGATTTTGAGGAGCATTTTTTTTTCGTTCACGCAGAAGGTGTAAAATAAACAAACACCTGAATTGCTTTTGATACTGTCCACTCAGTTACACCCTTCGGATCTCCTGTAGTTGGTGATCGCAATACTGGTATACCAGTATCGTGCACAATACTGGTATAAAAATTTTGTACCAGTATTGTAACTTTTAAAAAAAACCCAGCAATACTGGTACATTACTGATAACCCAGTATTGTAGTTGTATTGTTGACTATACTTTAAGGTGTATAATAAAAAAATGAATTTTAAGCAATATTACATATTGAAGATGAAAGGGGGATTAAATGAACTCAAAAAGATTAAAGAGGAATATTGTGAAATTAATCAACAACCAGTTAAAAATAATCACGATACTCATAAGCCCTAATTAAAATCAAAAAGATACATGTTACACAAATAAACAAAAGATTAATGTAATTAACTCATATTATTCCAACAATTGTTAATTATATAAAATAATTGCTATTCATTTTATCATATTTCTATGTTTTATTTAATTCAATTTAGGTAAAATAAAATAAAAGCTAATTATATAATTATCATCTGAGTTATTGTTAAATAAATTCAAGCAAATTATTACATTCTAACACTGCAAATTCAGCATTTACATGTATGCCATCATATATCTTTTACAGATATTTTAATACATGTATACTAAGATTATATGCATTTGTTGGTCTTTATTTTCTAATTTATCTTTCACAATAAAAGATATCAATATCCATTAAACATAAACAGTTCCTTAATAGGGGAACCGGATTATAATCAATTTAACTACATGAATGTTTAGGGTAATACCAGCACAGAAAGAGGAGGGTTGCAGAAATGCCATCTGAAGAAGATATAGACAATACCAATTCTGACGATACAGCAGCTGTAACAGCAATGTCCATATAAAATTCACTTAAATATACTATGAGTCTTGGAAAGAGAGCGCTAGAGCTGAAAGAAAAGATAGAAAATAAAGAGTTTGTTGAAATGCTGGGACAGTACTGTTCCCTTAAGAAAAAAAAACATCAGAAGATTTAAAACTTTCTTTGATGACAATCGCAGTGTACCATCATTTAAACATACAATCTATATGTCCAATCATTCCTTATAAAATTGTCATGCCATATGTTAATTTCATTATGCATACATATGTGACACCTTTGATAAATTTAAAGATTAATTACCTATATATGTATTGTTTATTTTAAAAAAAACACAATACTGGTACAATACTGGTACAAAATTTTTATACCAGTATTGTGCACAATACTGGTATACCACTATTGCGATCACCAACTACAGGAGATCCCACCCTTTAACTCACCTGTAGCTGTGTAGATATCTATTGTCCATGCCAATCAAGGACAATCAATACAACACAAAACAGTTGTTACCTGAGAGGGAGCATCTCAAAGTTGTAACCCAACTTAGTTTATTTTTACACCCGCAGGAATTAAAAAAAATGCCCATTAAGATCCAAAAAAGATTTAATTATTCTGAAATGCAAAATGCATTCAACTTTTATATATCTAGTGGATGCCAGGCTTTAAAACTTTACCAACTGGACAGGTAAGTCTGAACACAGAGTAGTTTTTGAGGTGTAAATACGGCCATATTTGTCCATTTGTTATGATGAACCTTAATTAAGGCCAAAAAAGGACTGTGGTCGAAACTACCTATGGCAGAACTGATACGCCTTATCGCTATTTGTCCACAATTACTGGATATCACAATAGAAAATGTCTGATGCCACAAAGGAAAAGCGTTGTATGACGCCAATACTGACAATAGTTCAAGTGTTGCAGATACCCAAATAGTGATAAGGTCTATTGTGTGGGTGAAACATCTTAAAAGCACCATGACCAGGTGTTCGTTTGAGTTGGAATAATAATGCATGGGATGTTGCATAATAACTCAGCTGATTGTTTATACTTTTATTTAGTATAATAAATTGGCAGGTCAGGGGTTTGGATTTACGACAGTTTTCTTTCTTATATCAGTTTGAATACATGAAGGCAGGGTTTCTCGTGGGTCCATACTTTTTTACCACCCTTTCCCAAAGCAATTTGTCTCTGCCAAGTTATTTTCCTTTAACCTATTTATCAGATACTTCCAGTCTAGTTAAAGCTCTCTTAATTTTATAGGCGTTTTTAAATTTTTTTTAAACAGCTTTCTTTTCTGGTCTATTGCTTAAAGTTTAAAGTTATAACGTAAAACTATGTTTAAGTGAAAAGGGCAAAAACAATTGCAAAGTAACAACTTCAAAACAACTGTTATTTATAAAAGTTGTAAAACAACTCAAATGACATTTGACCTCCATGATTGTATTAAAATATACAATTAACACCTTTTATTGATTAATTTCATCTTATAGCTATAAATTGGTTGTGCCTTTTTAAAATCAGCTGATAAATGATTTTTTTTTTAAATCTAAACATTTGACAAGTTCAAGGATAAAAGGCATACCTGTCAACTGACCCCTATTTTGAGGGTGTGACCCATAATTTTACCAGCTCACCCAAGATTTTCCAATTCCCATCCAGGGTTTTCAAATAACCCAGGAATTCATCAAATGACCCATTTTCCACTTTATTCTAGTACCATGAGACTTCCAATATATAAAATGCTAAATTTTCCTCTGAAAAAGTCAAATTTGAAATTCTTCTTGAACAGGAAGTTAGATAATTTGCTCTCAACTGAATAATATTTAGCTACATGTATCAAAACATAATTTCACACTCTATGAACATGATGAAAAGGCCAAGTGTTGACTGATCAGGGAAGAAGTGAGGTCAAAGGAGGCCTCTACAAATTACAAACATATAGGTTACTACAGATTAGGAAAATTTTAGAAACAAAGAGTAGACAACTCATGAAAGTATCTGTAATAACACATGTATGTTATTTTTCTCTAATAACTTATTTAAGTTATACCCTTGACTGATGAAAAGGCCAAGTGTTGACTGATGAGGGAAGAAGTGAAGTCAAAGGAGCCCCCCCCCTCCCCCCCTCAAGAAAAAACACAAGGTGGACAATGTCAAACTAATTTATTGTAACACACAATTATATTTTTTTCCGACATGATTTGATCTTTTTCTCATAATGTGATAATGATGACAACCAGCTGAAATCCTGCATTTAGCATGTTTAGGATGATGGTAGAGAACAGGTGACTGAAAATTTTGATTGTAACTACAATGCATAAACAGCTGTCAAATTATTATTATCCAACCAATTGCTAACTTATTAATTAGGACCACAACAAAACCTGTACACCTTTCCTGGAAGATATCTTATCCACTTACAGGTTAACTGATTAGGTTTTAAGTACCAAAAACCAACACAGTTTCAAAATCAAAAAAGAAAAGATATGAATGGCTTTAAAAATTGTAAAGTTACAATTTACATGTACAAGCCAAGTAAGCTTTAATTGGTATACACAAGACTAAAAAGGTCTTCAGCACTGATCCATGACAATAAGGTTTAGATCATTTAAAATCACATATGTGTATGTTATAGATGAAACACACTTATTTTCCTTTTTTTCAGTTCAGAAAATGACCGATCAGAAGAATATTTTTACATTCAAAGATGAAAGACCCCAACAATGTCCATCATTAGAATACAGTACAGATTTGTTACAGAATAAAGTGCCATTGGTAATAGATAATGGTGGGTATTATCTGTTGAAAACTGATTTACAAAGTAGTTCTTGTGAAAGTGTTAAGTCAGGTACACCTTATACAAGCATTTATCCTGCAATTAGGTGTCTTACTATACAGATACAGCCCTACAGATATCGCTATGCTGTATCTGTATACTATGCAGATATCGCTTTAAAGCTCTGCCCACTGCCGGACTGAGTGTTGTATGAACCTGTGTGACCTCAGAATGTGTATTGCAGTCGCATTCCAATGACATATTGGTTTACCTTATGCGAACTAACGATAACTTTTATACGTTCTGTTTGTTTTCAAACTTTCTTTAGGGCAATAAGAATTAAACCAATGTTCTGATAACAGACAAACATGAACAGCAGTATTTTCTACGACGACAATCATTGATTTCAAAACTTGAATGTGTACATGTGTAAGAAAATCAACCATGTCAATTTCAGCATGCATGTTAAGTGAGTGTCAAGTTCAGTTCAAAATTCTGAAGCGTAGGACAACTCGTACACTTCTGTTTCAAATTGGACAATGTTTTGTTACTTGTTTTTACTGTTGAAATAAGTTGTTATGTTAAAATAGATAATTATTCACCTTGAGCGATGTATTATTGTTGACCATTCGAGATTCTTTTTTTGCGAACACATCTTCAGCTGAATGTGTGATTTTAATATTACTACGCGGGCCTCAAGGGATTTTAAATCGAAAATAAATGTAAAAAATATGAGTTTTCGTGTCTTTCAAAGCACAAACAATATACAGAATTAATTGCAGGATAAAGACAATAACTGTTTAGTGTCTTTAAATATCAGCTGTATTTGTACTCGGCTCGAAACAGGAGTAATAGCTCGCTAAAGCTCGCATTACACCTGTTTCTTAGCCTCATACAAATACAGCTGATATTTAAAGACACTAAACAGTTATTGTCTATGTTTGTTGTGAGTCAACTGCTTCCTACTGAATACCTATAAACAGATCCTGTTGTACTAATGGTAGCTGTTGTTTTGCTCGTGCAAGTATAAATCATTTGAGAAATATAAGATATCCCATTTGTTCAATTAAAGAAATAATTCTAACTTTTGATCAAGATAGTGTGTAAGTTATTCAATTAATCATTGTATATTGTCACAGGTACATATCAATGCAGAGCTGGCTGGGCCACCAATGATAAACCACAGCTAGTGTTCAAGAATATAACCGCTAAACCAAGGGGTAAAAAGGTGAGTTTAAACTACAGAGTAGGTTTGTTAGAACCTGACTATTTTGTGATAATCAATGTAGTGGTATATATATTTTAGGCTAAGTTGATTCCTTATAGGAATTATTATTGAAGCCATAACAGTGTGGACATGACCATCTATTGGCTTGGTCAGATCAGGTAAACGTTCATCCGTTACACCCACTTATTATGTTGTTTTCACAATGACATTTAACTGACATTGAATACTTGAACAATTGGCATTAACAAAATAGTGGCCACGTTTTTCGAAGCTGTTGCGATTTTCACTAAATTTTTCATTTTTTGTACTTTTTTGGGGCAGCACGTTGATAGCAAAAACAGCAAATATGAAATACAGAATAACATGTAGCAAAATTAAGTAAAAAGAAAATGTCAGAAGAAAAATAGAAGAATAAAATATCGCCCCAAGGTCACTTCAAATGAAGTCTCATTGAAGACTACAACGAGCATCTTTGCTTGTACATTCAAATATTATTTGATTGATGTAGAATATTATTAAGAAGATGCCAGGTGTATGTCAATGAGACAGTGAAAGAAACAACCAAAACACATCAAATCATCATTCCATCAAATTACAGGAAAAGCAAAAAAATAGTCAAATTGAAAAGTGTTTTCTTTTTATGTAATTGTCCTGTTGGTTTGAAGTTAGAATGGGACGGATCACAACAATGGAGTTGGATACTATATTAGGTCAGATGTCAAAGGCACCATACAAACACCACGTCTTTTGTCAGGTACTTGTTGACTGGGTTGGCCTAAAGTTTTTCTCATTCTTTTGGTTCAGTTGCATTTCTCTTGTGAAAATAATAACTTACATTTTCCTCTAAGTTACACTGAGTATCTTTAGTTGAAACATTTATATTTTGTTGACACTTATTATTTCCTGAAATATTTAAAATGAAGGATGTATTTCCAGGCAATGTGGTCTATTTACACTTGAACTGAATAGATTTGAGGACATCCATTTCAGACACTGCTGCATGAATTTTTATTTTCATTTTTTATGCTCAACTATTTCCAAAATTTCTTAGTCCTGCCCCTTAATTTTAAAAGGTTGATGTTTCCCCTTTCAATTTAGATTTGTACTTATTTTTATTTTTTTCCGTTACCGTAGCTGTGTTTTTATATATATCCACGAATTAAATATCTTCATAATACAGAAACACAAGATAATTTGTTAGGTTATTATGTCAACATATTTTATAGTGTGTCTTTCTATGTTGTGATGTTACACTATTGTTTCAGAAAAAGGGTGAAGGTTTGGTACCATAAAAACGTTTAAACCCGCTGCATTTGTTTGCACCTGTCCTTAGTCAGGAATCTGATGTTCAGTAGTTGTCGTTTGTTGATGTGGTTCATAAGTGTTTCTTGTTTCTCGTTTTTGTCGCGCCTTCGACTTTAGTCGAAAAAGCGATGCTACATTCCGTCGGCGTCGTTGTCGTCGGCGGCGTCCACAAATATTCACTCTGTGGTTAAAGTTTTTGAAATTTTAATAACTTTCTTAAACTATCCTGGATTTCTACCAAACTTGGATAGAAGCTTGTTTATGATCATAAGATAGTATCCAGAAGTAAATTTTGTAAAAATAAAATTCCATTTTTTCCGTATTTTACTTATAAATGGACTTAGTTTTTCTGCCGGGAAATATTACATTCACTCTGTGGTTAAAGTTTTTAAAATTTTAATAACTTTCTTAAACTATCCTGGGTTTGTACCAAACTTGGACAGAAGCTTGTTTATGATCATAAGATAGTATCCAGAAGTAAATTTTGTAAAAAAATAAATCCATATTTTCCGTATTTTACTTTTAAATGGACTTAGATTTTCTGCCAGGAAACAACACATTCACTCTGTGGTTAAAGTTTTTAAAATTTTAATAACTTTCTTATACTATTTTGGATTTGTACCAAACTTGGACAGAATCTTGTTTATGATCAAATGGTAGTATCCAGAAGGAAATTTTGTTTTCTTCCAGTTAACATTACATTCAGTCTGCAGTTAAAGTTTTTAAACATTTATTAGATTCATAAACTATCCTGGATTTTTACCAAACTTGGACAGAAGCTTCTTACAATCAAAAGACAGTATCAAGAGGAATATTTTTATTGATTTACTTCCTCATTTTTGTTGAGCCTGCGATTAACAGAAAAAGTAGGCGAGACACTGGGTTCCGCGGAACCCTTACAAATTTTTTATATAGATTAGACCGTTGGTTTTCCCATTTGAATGGTTTTACACTAGTAATTTTTGGGGCCCTGTATAGCTTACTGTTCGGTGTGAGCCAAGGCTCTGTGTTGAAGACCGTACTTTGACCTATAATGGTTTACTTATATAAATTTTGACTTGGATGGAGAGTTGTCTCATTGGCACTCATACCACATCTTCTTATATCTATAAACCTCTAACAGTCCAATCATACACATTTTTTTTTAAGTGTAACTATACATGTGTTTTAAAAAAAAATTGATAGAATATGTACCCTTTGTATGTAATAAATAATACTTGTGCTGTTGTAAAAACAAACTAATCGGTGACCATAAAACAACACTCAGGAACCTGAGTTGAATAAACTAATGAATTTACAATGTCCAAGCAGTTTTGGTGTTCATTCTAAAGTCCTTTAATTACTGATAGATATAGGAAGATGTGGTATGAGTGCCAATGAGACAACTCTCCATCCAAGTTACAATTTATAAAAGTAAACCATTATAGGTATACACTTTTACAATTTTTTGCATTTTTAATGGAAAACTATTCTAAAGCAAAACTGTACACATTAAATATGATTAGCAAAACAAGATCTACTAATAAGTTACCATAGCTCAAATTGTCTGTTGACTCCTAAATTATGAGTTATTGCCCTTAAATAATGAAAACTTAAGGAAATAGAAAAAAATTGTTCACATTAAGAATGATGAGCAATAAAAGAATTACTTTTATGTTAGAAGACTTAAATTATCAGTCAACTCCATATAGGAGCTATTGTCCTTTAATAACATTTTTACCCTTTTTTTGGCAAATTGCAAAAGTTATTTGGCCTAACAGATAAAGCAATGAACATACACAACATTTCATGTATATTTTATATTGAATGCACATACAAACAAACAGGTACTACATGTATTAATATAGCAATGAAAAAATACATGTAGAATGGCATGGCTCAAAATGTTTTGAATGATTACTCTTAAGATTTCAAATGTAATGAAGAGAAGAATAATTAGAAAATGTAAAGTGAACACGGGGCCCTTTATAGCTTACTGTTCGGTGGGAGCCAAGGCTCCGTGTTGAAGACTGTACTGTGACCTGTAATGGTTTACTTTTATAAATTTTGACTTGGATGGAGAGTTGTCTCATTGGCACTCATACCACATCTTCTTATATCTATATAATTCAGAATTCCCTAACAAAGAATCAATGCTTTAATATTCGCAATGCTGTTTCACTGAAATATATATAGTTTACTATCATTTATGTAAATGTCAATTTGCATGATGTGTTTTACAGGAGACAGACATACAAGTAGGAAATGAAATAAATACAACTGAGGTTGCAAAATGGTTAATTAGGTCACAGTTTGATAGAAATGTTGTGACAATGTATGATGTTCAGGTAAGATGCATGTATATATACTATATTTTCAGCTCATTGAGACCTAGAATATACAGATATGTTCTTAGATATGTAATCTGAATCTTTTAATTGAGTGTAAAGTCTCGATATGTGTCATATAAAATAATATGGAGAAAGTTGAAAATGAATATGTGTTAAAGTCTAGTGTTTATTCTGAATAGATAATTTATGGTCATTTTTCATAAAGTTTAGATTCCTCACAATCAATTTCAGTAGATTGTTAAGAAATTATTTTTTTTTATATTAAAACTGTCTTTCTCTGACTAAATTTACTTGTTACTTCTGAAAATGTGTTAATTGATTGCCAAAATGGTTGTGAATTATAATTCATTTCATACCATTCATAAACACATGAAAAACTATCCTAAAAAATTGTGTCTGAGTATTACCTGCTCAAATCAAAGCAACAAGATATTTCCTTTCATTTTTCAAAAAACATCACTTTATGAAATACATATCTATACAAAAGCTAACCAATAAAAAAAAAACTTGTATTAAAGTAAACCAATGAAAAATACAAACCTGTATGAAAGCTAACCAATGAAAAATACAAACCTGTATGAAAGCTAACCAATGAAAAATACAAACGTATACATGTATGAAAGCTAACCAATGAAAAATACATACCTGCATGAAAGCTAACCAATGAAAAATACAAACCTATATGAAAGCTAACCAATGAAAAATACAAACCTATATGAAAGTTAACCAATGAAAAATACAAACCTGCATGAAAGCTAACCAATGAAAAATACAAACCTATATGAAAGCTAACCAATGAAAAATACAAACCTATATGAAAGTTAACCAATGAAAAATACAAACCTGCATGAAAGCTAACCAATGAAAAATACAAACGTATATGAAAGCTAACCAATGAAAAATACAAACGTATATGAAAGCTAACCAATGAAAAATACAAGCGTTTATGAAAGCTAACCAATGAAAAATACAAACCTGTATGAAAGCTAACCAATGAAAAATACAAACCTATATGAAAGTTAACCAATGAAAAATATATTGCTCTTTGGCCGGGTTGTTGTCTCTTTGACATATTCCCCATTTCCATTCTCAATTTTAAACGTATATGAAAGTTAACCAATGAAAAATACAAACCTGTATGAAAGCTAACCAATGAAAATACAAACCTGTATGAAAGCTAACCAATGAAAAATACAAACGTATATAAAAGCTAACCAATGAAAAATACAAACGTATATGAAAGCTAACCAATGAAAATACAAACCTGTATGAAAGCTAACCAATGAAAATACAAACCTGTATGAAAGCTAACCAATGAAAAATACAAACGTATATGAAAGCTAACCAATGAAAAATACAAACGTATATGAAAGCTAACCAATGAAAATACAAACCTGTATGAAAGCTAACCAATGAAAATACAAACCTGTATGAAAGCTAACCAATGAAAATACAAACCTGTATGAAAGCTAACCAATGAAAATACAAACGTATAGGAAAGCTAACCAATGAAAATACAAATCTATATAACAGCTAACCAATTAAGAACTGAATGATTCTTTTTATAATTTTATTGGAGTGTAAAATTGTTGACCAAGGAATATTTTGTATTAAGCCCAGAAGCACTTCATATTAAAAACGTGCACACAATCAACGCTTTTACAACCCTATAGAATTATAAAAAGAATCATTCAATTATTATAGTTAATTTTTATGCTACAACCATGAAATTAAGGGCTTTATTAAGCTTTTCATTTGTTTTTCTATGCACTGTTTTAACATAGGCATGGAAAGCACATGCAATCATAGCTGTTGTATTTATACAGAAATAAAGTTTGATATGGGATTGTTGTTAGCCAATCAAAATTACAGATTCTAATTCTGATAAAACAATAAACTTGTATATGTAACAACATGAACAATGATAAATCTGTTTTGATGATTTCTTAAGTATGAAATAATTTTTCATTACCAGGAACAAATATTTGATTATATATTTTCACATCTTGGTATGAACACAGATGGGTATATTGACCACCCTGTGGTGTTGACGGAGCCTGTATGCAATCCCAACTACTGTCGTCAGCGTAGGTATCATTATTAGCTGTTTAAATTGGTATGATATATTGTTAACTCAAAATGAAAAAAAAATGGATTCCAATATAAAAATTAGGAGATGTGGTATTGTGAAAACTATTCACAAGATATTAAAGTCGAGGATGTGGACAACAATAGGTCACTGTATGGCATTTAACAATGAGCAAAACACAAACTGTATTGTAAGCTGTGAAAGACCCCGACCATGACATAATACAAGAATTAAAAAAGAGAAAACAAAACAGCCTGATTTATACTACAAACATTAAAAAAAAAACAAATATGGCAGACAGCAACTAAAGACAACAACTGAATAACATGCTCCCAACCATTGACAGGCACACAAAGAATGTGGCGGGATAAAACATGTTTCACATGCTCCTAACTCTGGACAGACACATAAAGAATGTAGCGGGGTAAAACATGTTTCCAGAAATGTCAGAACTTTTATTTGAATATTACATAAAAACAGATCATATCTTTCTTTCCAGAAATGTCAGAACTTTTATTTGAATGTTACAACATACCTCAAGTTACATATGGTATTGATGCCATGTTCAGTTTGTATGCTAACCACGACAGGATGGGTATGTGTAATTATCTTTTCTTGTGTGATATAAAAGAACATTGTAAATACAAGGAGATATGGGACATAAGTCATTGAGTCTGACACCCAATGTCTTAAAAAACTGAGGCATGTAGAAGTCAGGATGCTAGTTATAGTAAACAGGAGTCTTCTAGTATAACTAAAAACTAAACATTAGGATAAAACACAGTTGGTTTTTAGGCCTAGGTGGCTTCAAGAAATTTAATGAGGAATCAGGAAAGAAATCTCTGACACTTTGAAAAGTTATAAAAATTATTATAGAAAAGATTCCTGTTACATTCATGAGAAAATAAATAAAACTTTTTATCTAGGCCTGACATAAAAGCTTGATTTAATTATTTTACAAGAATTGAAGGTAGAATTGAAAAAAGAACAAATCACAAATGACTTTTATCAAAACTCTTGTTTCACAAATACTCAAAAATTCATAATGTTAAGATTTGTCAATTGTTGAAGAGTTTCTGTCTCGGATTTATACCATTGAAATACCATTATTTCATAATATTGCAATTTTTGTACTGTTTTGTATTTCTAATGGAATGATACACTTTTGTGAAACTATTTGCGACACACAATTCTACTTCAAAATATGAACTGTAACTCAGATGAAGTTTAACATCATTTGATGGTTAATGTTACCTTTAGATGCATGATATGAACAAGTTTTATAGATTTTGCCATAAATTTTGAGGTTTTACAAATATGCTTAACTTTTATCTAACTATATTAAAAAGTTTGTGAAATATTGTCTTCTACATAAAAAAAACACAACCTTTTGCCTGTCATAGAAAAGAAAGTTTCTTTTTCTTTTTTATAGAAGATATAAACTCACTCATAGTTTCCTGTGGTTACCAAACTACACATTTACTTCCTGTACTTGGTGGACGTCTGGACCCATCACAATGTCGAAGGATTAATCTAGGAGGATATCACCTAGAAACATTCATGCAGAGACTTCTACAACTCAAATATCCAGGACATTTTGCAGCTGTGTCACTAAACAGGGCTGAGGTATTCCATATTCTTAATGATATTAGCTGCTGACATTCAAAATAACAATATTTTTATAAATGACATCTTTTTAAAAGATAATTTATAATACATTAAAATAATATATAAAATAAAAACAAGTCTGTGCGGTTGCTTCTGAGTTAAAAGCATCTTGTACAAGAAAAAAATTCTTCTTGTTTTTTTTTAAATACAATGACTGGGAAGAAATTAAGTGCAACTTAGATGTAGGTTTTTAGATATGGAGAAACAATATAGAGCTTCCTAGAGGAAGGTTTTAATACAAAATCTAGGAATGAGCACGAATATGTAGTAAAAGTTGATAATAAGAGAAGTGAACATCCTTTTATAATGTTTTTTGTGTAGATTTGGACATGGAATCTGTATATCAATTAGTGTGGGAGTAATTGTCCTTAAATAACAATTTTTATACCTGTTTATGGGACTTATTATGGTATACCGTTGTCTGTCTGTCTGTCTGTCTGTCTGTCTGTCTGTCTGTCTGTCTGTCTGTCAACACTTCAGACAATAACTCAAAAACTTTTCATGAAACTTTGGTGAATTGTTCATATCTATTCAGGTAAGCTCCCTTTCGATTTTGATAAATTTTAGATTTTACGTTTCAAGGTTATAGGATTTTACTCATAAAAAATGTGTGTTTTTCTAGTCTTCTGACTATTACTCAAAAATGCTTTCAAAAATTTCATGAAACTTTGGTGATTTGTTTATATAAATTGAAATAAGTTCCCTTTCGATTTTTAAAAATTTCTGATTTTATGTTTTGGAGTATTGAGACTTTATTAATAAAAAAGGGGGGATTTTCCAGTTTTCTGACAATAACTCAAAAATGCTTTGAGCAGTTTTAAACGGAACTTTGGTAGCTTGTTTATATCTATTTAAATATCTCTCTTTTGTTTTTTTTATAAATTTGATATGACATGGCAGAGTTATGGAATTTTATTCGTTGAAAAATCGTTGAAAGCTGTCCATTTTTCACACTTTGGACAGTTGTAGAATTTACCTCGTTCAAAAATCAAGACCACAAACTTTGTTAAACTTGAGGTAGCCTTAATAGTGCCAAATTATTAATGTTTTGTGTTGCTTCTGTCCTAAATCTTGAAGATTATAATATATAGACAGAAATTGTTTTTGCAGCAAAAGATTGAAATATATGAATTGATAGACAGAAGTTGTTAGCTGTGAAAAATTATTATATATAGATAGACAAAAATTGTGAATCACAAAATTGATCAGCACTGTAAGATCCACAAAAACGATATTATGACTGAAACCATTTATCGACTCCATTTATTGCTTTCCATTGATGATTTTTTGCTCATTTTTTACAATTTATCTTAAAAACAATTATAAAAGGACAGGAACTGTAAACAGCAAAAATGATCAGCAATACAAGATCTACAAAAATGTCAAAATAATAAAACTATCCATTGACTGGTTATAGGACTGATTGCCCTTTTTACATTAAGAAGTACTGTTAAGGTGTAACATATCTTTCTAATGTTTTGTAATATGCTATTTAATGTGTTGGTGACTCTCTTTGTTGAATTTTTTTATTAATCATTAATATTTGTGATTTAATAAAATGTAAGATTGGAATATTATAGAAAGAGATGTGGACTTTCCATCTCTTTATAAGATAACTATACATCTTTAATTAAAGCAAATGGACTTGAGTGTGTAGGTAAAGGTAGTATCTTTAGTTAGCTTACTTGTTAGCTGAACCATGAAATTATTATTAGCTAAGGTACTGTCCAATCAATTCAATCTAAATTTAAAAGTCTAGTGTCAATTATAAGCTGATTCACAATCATATTATAGGTATGTTTGATTTGTCAATTTTATTCAATCAATTACCTCTGTTCTCTTTAACTAAATTATTTACATATGTAATTCTATACTTTAAACAGTAGTTTACAATGATTTAATCCAATTTTCCAAAAAAAAGAAGTTTTCATATCCTTATTATTTATGTTTATAGTGATAATAAGGATATCATTATCTTTGATCTTCATGGGTATTTTTTTCGGGGGAGTGGTACAGAAGGTATAAATAACCATCTTCTGCAGTGATGCAAAAAAAATGCACATCAGAATAACACTTATACCAAATATTATTGATTATCTTAAAAATATATTTTTAAACTGACTTATAAAACTGGTTTCACAATGTTTATATACTCTCCCTATCTTTGATTGGTTCTCTGCTTAACTATTGACTCCGCCCAAATGAAGGTAGTACCTGATGTAATAATGATTTCATGGTTCAGCTAGCAAGCAAGCTAACCAAAGATACTACCTTTACTTGCACACTCAAGTCTATGTGCTGTAACAAAAAATCAATAATTTAAACATATGAAAAACCAGTAAAAGATTAAGACATGTGCTCTATGGATATTAAATATATATAATTATCAGGAATTAGTGAGAGATCATTGTCACCTAGCAACAGATTACAATGCAGATTTACATGAATGGGTTTCCAATGACTATTATGACGATAATGTACACAAGATACAACTTCCCTACACTAATGTAAGTAAATAGTTTACAAATTACTACTTTCACTGTTGTAAGTTATATGGACAAAAATACATCAATAGTTCACTAATGTAAAATACATGTAAATAAGCTGTAAAAATGTACCATCATTTAGAGTAACTTGTAGACTAGATACGACTGTCCCAAAATATACAAAATAACACTTATGTTAGTCAAATATACCAAATATACATACAATACATATATATATATAGTTTACATTGGCACTAATATCCATTTTGTCATCAGCTAATTAAAACATAACTAAATTTGTATTCTTTTCAAACGGGATGTATAAAGACACACCCACGGTCATTTTGATCTATAAAGAGGTTAAACTAACTATCCTACTGTCTGTCGATACATTTATTTTTGGCATTGCACAAGTCATGTCTTCTTTGACTGTCCATGACGTTAAAATACTAAATCCCTGGGATGTGTTTTAGTTGATTTTAGTCTCTGATGCATGATTTTTTTATTATTAATTGTTTTGGCTTTTAACTAGCTGTCAGTAACTGCGAGTACTCTCAAATCGTACTTTCTTGTTTATTTGACCTGTTGATCCTAATTGTAATGCTTTTTTGTTATTTAATGTTATTCAGGGTTATATCTGGTCTATATACCTGCTTTGATAAGTGTTTGGTATTACTATAAATTTTCACTTCGTACTATGAACATCAAAATTATTTATTTTGTAAAAATATTTCCTTTCTCTATTGGAACTGTACACGTATACCTAACAGCAAAATTATATTCATTTACCTGTGTTTAAATTAATTGCAAATGGCTATTTTTGTTCGAGCATATTGTTTTTCTTAAATTGTTTAACATTTCATACCGGTATAACATATTACTTTTATTATTCTTCCCTTAGTTTATTTATTTTGTATTTACATTGTATCATAGGTCAAATTTATTTGTTCAGTGTATGTTCACTGGTGTTAATATGTCCTTTGATTGAGTTAAGCTATTTCAGTTGATATTTTATAGTGTGTCTTTCTATGTTGTGATGTTACACTATTGTTTCAGAAAAAGGGTGAAGGTTTGGTACCATTAAAACGTTTAAACCCGCTGCATTTGTTTGCACCTGTCCTAAGTCAGGAATCTGGTGTTCAGTAGTTGTCGTTTGTTGATGTGGTTCATAAGTGTTTCTTGTTTTTTATATAGATTAGACCGTTGGTTTTCCCGTTTGAATGGTTTTACACTAGTAATTTTTGGGGCTCTTTATAGCTTACTGTTCAGTGTGAGCCAAGGCTGCGTGTTGAAGACCGTACTTTGACCTATAAAGGTTTACTTTTATAAATTTTGACTTGGATGGAGAGTTGTCTCATTGGCACTCATACCACATCTTCTAAAATCTATATACAATACAACTACATAGAGTACAATCATGTAATATAACACTTGTACCAAATACAACTATCTCTCTGTAATGTTAAGTACAGGGAAGACAAGCATGCTACACTTAAGTAAGTTATGTGCACATTAAATAAACATTGACTAAGTGTAAATGGCAAATCTTTAATTGCTTTTGTTTAATTTATTCACAACATTTATACAATACAACTACAGTAAGTAAAATGCACACAAGATAAAAAGATAGTCCACTTAGTAAATAATTTGGACTCAGAATACAAAATGTAAATTATTTGATACAAGGTACTATTGAAGTTTATAAATGTAAGAAAAATGAAACTTAAATACAACCGCATTACACCAATATTAGTATACTTACACAAAGTAATATAGAAATAAGGAGATGTGGTATGATTGCCAATGAGACAACTATATACCAAAGTTAAAACAAAGTAACACTTTAAGTAAAAACACAAAAGAAATATACCAGTACAGGTAACATGTACACAAAATCCAATTACACTGTGGTTATGTTAATAACATGTACACAAAATCCAATTACACTGTGGTTATGTTAATATGTGCACAAAATACAACCACAGTATATATAGAAATAAGAAGATGTGGTATGAGTGCCAATGAGACAACTCTCCATCCAAGTCACAATGTGTGAAAAGTAAACAATTATAGGTCAAAGTATGGTCTTCAACACGGAGCCTTGGCTCACACCGAACAGCAAGCTATAAAGGGCCCCAAAATGACTAGTGTAAAACAATTCAAACAGGAAAACCAACAGTCTAATCTATATAAAAAACGAGAAACGAGAAACACTTAAGAACCACATCAACAAACGACAACCACTGAAACAGGTTCCTGACTTAGGACAGGTGCAAACAAATGCAGCTCGTTTAAACGTTTTAACAGGTGCCAACCTTCACTCTAACCTGAAATAGTAGTGTAACATTACAACATAGAAGCCACACTATAAAATATCAATTGAAATGGCTTAACTCAATCAAAAAGACATATTAACAAAAACAAGTAAACATACACTGAACGAATAAATTTGATCTATGACACAATATAAATACAATATTAAATAAAAAAGGGGGGATGTAAAACCATGTCAAAAAGACAACTATAACCTTGGACAAAATTGCTGTTTGTACTAATATATGTAAACTATACACCAGATACAACTACATATGTACACTGTACAACTATACTTCTATTTAGAATAAATGAAATGAAGGTTATTACACTAAATACATATATTGCACACAACTGTAAGCTAAATGTTAATTGAATACAACTACACTACACTTACATGACTAGTTTATATATCAATACACTAAGGTATATTATATGCACCATGTTTAAATGTTTTTTTGTGATTGACCAAGAGATGATAATTGAAATAAAGCTGATTTTAAACTGTGCAAAATTAAATAATTAAAAGACATATTTTATTGTGTGTGGTATTTATAGGCCCCAGGAAACCAGCTATCAGCAGAGCAAACTAAAGAAAGAAGAGAGCAACAAATCAAAAGATTGAAAGAAGTAACAGCAAAAAGGAGAATGGAAAAAGTTAGTTGTTCTTACTGGTATTAAAACTGTTACAGTAGTAAATGAACCAAAATGGTTTGAACTGATTTAAAGTCAGGCTCTTAGATGTGATTGATTGATTGATTGATGGTAACTGAATACAACCTTTGTAGGTTAGGTCTTTATTTATTGTGACAATACAATCAAGTTTGAGTATGGTAGAAAGGGAAAAGATACTAAGGAGGCAATCAAAAACCTATTAGTCATTAGTCTAAGAAAAACTAAATATCATAACGGAAAAAGAAAACGAGGGAAAGACCAACAACAGTCCACAAAACACCACACAGAGAAACTAAAAATTGATCCCTACCAAAAACTGAGGGTGAACTCATGTGCTCCAGGAGCGGTAAAAAGTTCTGCTCAACCACTGGCATCAGTTGCTCATGTCAAATTTTGTTAATAAGTTGTATTCCATGCAAAAGATTGACAATATCAATTAAGAGGTGTTCACAATGCAATTGACTGACACTGCAACACTTTATTATTCAATCTTATTTACATTGAAGTATGGAATTTTATTCCTACGTTATGTTTTATGTCTATAATAAAGTTGAAGATCATACTTAACTAAAAAAGATTCTTCTTCAGTGAAACAGCTGATTAGACAATGTGTTCCATATATGAAATTGTTAAATACAATTTTTGCTCTTTGATTAGTTGCACTTACTGATAGGGGTTAGACATGCTATTTAAAGAGAAGATGTATTAAGGTATGTGGAAGGGGAAAGACAAAGAAAATAACAAATTATGAGTGGTGAATGTTCAATGGTTTTTTAAAGGGAAATTCTCATATTTTCATGAATGGTACCTGCGGGAACAAGTGTTTCCCTTCCCCACTTTTTTTCTATACTTCCTTTAGATTATTTCCTGGCACAGCTGTTACCAGATTAACCCATCTTTCTTTTTATGACAGTTAGCATCAGAAGAACAGAAGTTACAAGAATTAATGAGTATCCAAGAATTGTTGGAAGATGAAGATGATGATGAAGCATTTGATGTAAGTAGATAATCTGTAAATAATCCCACCCAGCTCCTCTCAATATAACAAAAGAAATCATTAGCCATCCAGAATCTTATACATCAGAATATGTATTGATATCAAAGAACTTTCTGACTATGAAAGTTAAGAAGTATTTGAGTCCTGTAAAATTTAGTTGATTTTGGCAAAGTTTTGTTCTATAGAATAAGAATTTTGTTAAGAGAATTAGAAAGTTTTTTTTATTTTATTATTTCCTGTTTTTCCTAAATTTCCAAATAAAACAATATCCATTTAATTTAATTCTTATCTGTTTGGTTTAAAACCCAGTCATTAATTTTCATCCACCGGTCTAATATTTTAAGACATGTTGTACTAAAAGATATATATATATATATATTGTGCACTTTTTATTATGCCCCCGCGGTAGTGGTGGGGGCATTAAGTTTTACCCTTGTCCCTCTGTACGTACGTATGTACGTCCGTTCGTACGTCTCATAATTGGTTTCCGTTCTCTAACTTGAGTTTGCCTCAACCAAATCTTATGAAACTTATACACAATGCTTATTACCACAAAATACAGATCAAGTTTGAATTTTGGTGGTGTCACTTTAAATAATTGGTTTCCGTTCTCTAACTTGAGTTTGCCTCTACAAAATGTTATGAAACTTATACACAATGCTTATTACCACAAAACACAGATTTTTTAAAAATTTTGGTGGTGTTACTTTAACCGTTCTAGAGTTATGCCCCTTTATAAATGGAAAAATTGCAAAATTTTTAATTTCTTCTAAATATCAAGTAATTTCTAAAATTGGAGTTATCTTCCTTTGTCCATGATTATAGTTGGAATCAACTTAAATCAATGCTTTATACAATGCAATGTTTAATTTTGACTTCCACTGATAAAACACAGATCAAGTTGAATTTGGGTAGTGTCACTTTAACCATTATTGAGTTATGCCCCTTTATAAATCGAAAGATTGCAAAATTTTTAGTTTCTATTCTGTAACTTATGTAAGTTTGCCCTAACCAAACATTATGAAACCTAAACACAATATTCATTACCACAAAACTAAGATCAAGTACAAATTTTTTGTTTCCATTTTCTAACTTTAGTTTGCCTCAACCAAATGTTATGAAACTTATACACAATGCTTATTACTACATAATATATATTAAGTACGAAATTTGGTGGCGACACTTTTACCATTCTTGAGTTATGTCCCTTTATAAACATAAAAATTGCTGATTTTTTCGTTTGCGTTCTCTAACTTTAGTTTGTCTCAACCAAATGTTATAAAACTTATACACAATGGTTCTAGAGTTATGCGTGTTTACAAATAGAAAAATTGTTGAAAACTTTTGGTTTAAAGTAGTTTACCATGACTTGAAACTTACTACACATGTTCATTATGATGTCAACTTTTGAAGTATTATGCCAAATAAGGACTTTGACCTAGATTTTATGGTTCACTTTATATTGATATGTGATAATGCGAGCAGGGCATATTGTCCTATGGGCACAGATTCTTGTTTTTGGTAGCATGATATTTAGTTTTGCCATTCTATCTTTACAGCAAGCTTTACAGAATACATCATTTGTCATTCTATCTTTACAGCAAGCTTTACAGAATACATCATTTGTCATTCTATCTTTACAGTGAGCTTTACAGAATACATCATTTGTCATTCTATCTTTACAGTGAGCTTTACAGAATACATCATTTGTCATTCTATGATTACAGCGAGCTTTACAGAATACATCATTTGTCATTCTATGATTACAGCAAGCTTTACAGAATACATCATTTGTCATTCTATGATTACAGCGAGCTTTACAGAATACATCATTTGTCATTCTATCTTTACAGCAAGCTTTAAAGAATACATCATTTGTCATTCAATCTTTACAGCAAGCTTTACAGAATACATCATTTGTCATTCTATCTTTACAGTGAGCTTTACAGAATACATCATTTGTCATTCTATCTTTACAGCAAGCTTTACAGAATACATCATTTGTCATTCTATCTTTACAGTGAGCTTTACAGAATACATCATTTGTCATTTTATCTTTACAGTGAGCTTTACAGAATACATCATTTGTCATTCTATGATAACAGCGAGCTTTACAGAAAAATCATTTGTCATTCTATGATTACAGCAAGCTTTACAGAATACATCATTTGTCATTCTATCTTTACAGCAAGCTTTAAAGAATACATCATTTGTCATTCTATCTTTACAGCAAGCTTTACATAATACATCATTTGTCATTCTATGATTACAGCCAGCTTTACAGAATACATCATTTGTCATTTTATCTTTACAGCGAGCTTTACAGAATATATCATTTGTCATTCTATCTTTACAGCAAGCTTTACAGAATACATCATTTGTCATTCTATCTTTACAGCCAGCTTTACAGAATACATCATTTGTCATTCTTTCTTTACAGCCAGCTTTACAGAATACATCATTTGTCATTCTATCTTTACAGCAAGCTTTACAGAATTCATCATTTGTCATTCTATCTTTACAGTGAGCTTTACAGAATACGTCATTTGTCATTCTATGATTACAGTGAGCTTTACAGAATTCATCATTTGTCATTCTATCTTTACAGTGAGCTTTACAGAATACATCATTTGTCATTCTATCTTTACAGTGAGCTTTACAGAATACATCATTTGTCATTCTATCTTTACAGCAAGCTTTACAGAATACATCATTTGTCATTCTATGTTTACAGTGAGCTTTACAGAATACATCATTTGTCATTCTATGATTACAGCAAGCTTTACAGAATACATCATTTGTCATTCTATGATTACAGCAAGCTTTACAGAATACATCATTTGTCATTCTATCTTTACAGCGAGCTTTACAGAATACATCATTTGATACACCAGAAGAATTACAATCAGAAATAAACAGATTAACAATAGCAATACAGAGAAATAGAGCTAAAGTTCTTGGGATAGAGCCACCTCCAGTCGAAGAGGTAACAATGTCGTGATCAGGACTCGAAATTGACCATAATTTTTTATTGTGTGACAAAATCCTGTTTTAAATGTTTTTGCTATATAATCAAAATGTTGATGCTGTAACACAAGTAAAATTTTAGTGTTTTTGCTTCAGGGATTACTATCTGATGGCAGTGGCGGTGTAAACTATGTCTGTCAGACAGGGTTCATCTGACCTCGACCTCATTTCATTGATCAGTGATCAAGGTTAAGAGTTATGTGATTTGGTCCGTTTCTCAAATACAATAAGCATCAGGTCAACTTTATGTGGTGTATGGTATGATTATAAGGGGTACGTGTCAGTCTGGCAGGCTTCATCTGACCTTGACCTCATTTTCATGGTTCGTTGGTCAATGTTAAGTTTTTGTGTTTAAGTCAGTTTTCAATTTCTATATAAGCAATAGGTCAGCTATAATTGCTGTATGGAATAATTGTAAGGTGTTTGGTCTGTTTGTCAAGTACTACATGTATAAGCAATTGTTAAACTATGTGGTGTATGGAATGATTGTAAGGTGTACATGTCTTTCTGGCAGGTATCATATAACCTTGACCTCTTTTTCATGGTTCATTGGTCAATGTTAAGGTTTTTGTGTTTTGGTTTATTTTTTTTAAATACTAATAGTAATAGATCAGCTATAATTGGTGTATGGAATAATTGTAAGGTGTTCATGTCTGTCTGGCAGATATAATCTGACCTTGACATCATTTTCATGGTTCATTGGTCAATGCTTAATTTTTGTGTTTTTGTCTGTTTTCAATTACCATAAGCAATAGGTCAACTATACTTGGGGTATGGAATAATTGTAAGGTGTTCATGTCTGTCTGGCAGGTATAATCTTATCATGACCTCATTTTCATGGTTCATTTGTCAATATTAAGTTTTTGTGTTTAAGTCAGTTTTCAATTTCTATATAAGCAATAGGTCAGCTATAATTGCTGTATGGAATAATTGTAAGGTGTTTGTGTCTGTTTGACAGGATTTATGTGACCTTGTCATCATTGTCATGGATCTTTAAAAATGTTAAGTTTATGTGATACTTGTAGTAAAACCTTTATCTTTAAGACTATCAACATAAAATCAATGGTCATTAAAGCAGGTGAGCCATTTCAGCTTGTGCACTCCTGTTTAAAATTATTAGTACAATCATCACATGTATAATTATTCATATTGTAATGACTTGTAATGTATTGTCTAATATTATGACTATACATTGATCTGTAGATGTATTCTCCACATTTCATCTTATCCAAAACCACAAAGGACAGTGCTTTATTGCTGTTTTTCATCATAATATTTTATTATGTAAAAAGCCATGTCTCTAATACTGTAAACCAACTAATTTCATGTGATATATTGCATGATTTTTGTCTCACCTTGACAGAGTCGAAAAGCGAGACATAGGTATGCTGTTTCTGGGGTCGGCGGCGGCCAACAATGTTTTAGTTTGTGATTAGGTCAGTTTATGGGGAACCACTAGTGGTAGGTCAATGATATATGGTATGCAGTTGTATAAGCATTGGCATATCTCATTTCCATGGAGATTATTTGGCCCCGCCCCTTCAGTTATGGTCTATTGACTTTGAAACTTTTTCTTAGTTTTCATGTATTAGTTTGTGATTAGGTCAGTTTATGGGGAACCACTAGTGGTAGGTCAATGATATTTGGTATGCAGTTGTATAAACATTGGCATATATCATTTCCATGGAGATTATTTGGCCCCACCCTTTCAGTCATGATCTATTGACTTTGAAACTTTTGCTTAGTTTACAAGTTAATGTTTGTGTTTATATTTCTTCAAAAGGAATGACTTATGAAAAGTCAATGGTATTTGGTATGCAGTTGTATTAGCATTGGCACATTTCATTTCCATGGAGATTGTTTAGCCCTGTACCTTTAGTCATGGTTCATTGACATGACATGTTAAAGTATTGTTATTTTAATTTCAACATTTGCATTATCAAAATAACAAATAGGCGAGACATATCTCTGTGTTAACAGTTTATTATTTCATGATTCATATTTTTGCGAGTAGAAAAATAATGAGAATATAAATCGTTGTATATATGAAAAACTTGGATCTTTCCCTATTTAACTACATCAAATAAAAAAAATTGCGAAATTAAATTGCTGGGAGGTGGACTAGAAAAGGCTATATGTGAAATAAAGTATCAGTGAAATTAAGTTGGTTTACAGTACAGTGACAGTTAAATGTTATTGCTTGTTCTGTTTTTTTAAGCTCATTGAGTGACTTTCTTGACTAAATATTTTTTTTAGCCTAAGAAAACAGTTTATGACCTTTTAGAAATCCCTGATGACCAGTTGACTGCTGACCAGCTACTGACCAAGAAAAAACAAAGAATGTTGAAGAATGCCAGAGAGGGAAGGCTTAGAACACAAGCTTTACAGATAGAAAAAAGACAAAAGGTATTTCACATTTAGTTCAGTTGAATGATAAGATGCATTTTGGCAGACACTGTTAGGATGCTAACACAATGTGTCATTAATTTTTTATTTGCTTATTGACACAATATAAATCAAACTATACAATATTAAAAGAAAGTCCTGAAATCACCATTGAGAGACCTTTAAGGTAAAATCGTTAGATCATTTGGTAGAAACAGGACAAACAAAATTCTAAGTATGAGGGGTTGTAGGTGTTTTGGTTTTACAGTTGCTTTCTCAATTGTAGAGATGTTTTATACTGAAAAATGATGATGGTTGTGTAGCAAAGGGGAATCTTGTTTATAGAAGTAAGATCATACTAGTGTAAGCTGTTTTAAAGGTTATAACAGTATACCTAACAGTGCTTATCATATATATATGACTTTGGTATGTGTGTTCAAATTTAAAAAAAAAAATCTCATATAGTTTGTTTATTGACAAGGTTCCTTTGAACTGATTGTTGAATAACAAACTTGAATTGATTCAGGGGCATTTGAAAAACTAGGATTCATTTTCATGAAATATTACAAAATGAGGTTTTTCTAAAATACAAATATATAATCATTTATATTAGTCAGTATTTAAGTAAAGACAACATTCTAAAAACCTCTAAAATTTTATGGTTTTGCTTTAAATGCAGGCCTCACATTTACATACAATTTTGACTGATATGGAATATATTATTTTCTCATTTGTCCATTTATCTATTTGTCATGCTCAGAATATATTTGATTTTTGTAAGTATAAGTTCTGACTTATTGAAATTAATGCATCAGAGGAATTCCTTTGGTTCAAAAAATTCAAAAGATAAAAATTGTCAGATCTGACTACACATATTAACAGTTGTCAGATCTTACCACACATATTATTAGTTGTCAGATCTTACCACACATATTATTAGTTGTCAGATCTTACCACACATATTAACAGTTGTCAGATTTTACCACACATATTATTAGTTGTCAGATCTTACCACACATATTATTAGTTGTCAGATTTTACCACACATATTATTAGTTGTCAGATCTTACCACACATATTATTAGTTGTCAGATCTTACCACACATATTAACAGTTGTCAGATTTTACCACACATATTATTAGTTGTCAGATCTTACCACACATATTATTAGTTGTCAGATCTTACCGCACATATTATTAGTTGTCAGATCTTACCACACATATTATCGGTTGTCAGATCTTACCACACATATTATTAGTTGTCAGATCTTACCACACATATTAACAGTTGTCAGATCTTACCACACATATTATTAGTTGTCAGATCTTACCACACATATTATTGGTTGTCAGATCTTACCACACATATTATTAGTTGTCAGATCTTACCACACATATTATCGGTTGTCAGATCTTATCATGCATATTAACAGTTCTCAGATCTTACCACATATATTAAGAGTTGTCAGATTGTACCACACATATTATTAGTTGTCAGATCTTACCACACATATTATTAGTTGTCAGATTTTACCACACATATTATTAGTTGTAAGATCTTACCACACATATTATTAGTTGTCAGATATTACCACACATATAATCTATTGTAAGATCTGACAACACATATTATCAGTTGTCAGATCTGAAAGTCATATATAAATATTTGTAAAATCTGACCACACATATTAACAGCTGTTAGATATGACCACACATATTAACAGCTGTAAGATCTGACCACACATATAACAGTTGTTATATGTGACCAAACATAAATAACAGTTTTTAAATTTGACCACACATACCAAACATATATAACAGTTTTTAAATTTGAGTCAATTGACCACACATATTTTACCAACTGTATGCTAAAATTCATCAGTTTGCCTTTTTTCATTTTTTGATACAAGGAAAGATACAGTCAAACCTGCCTTAATGGTCTCCTCCTTTAAGCAGTCACCTGCCTCTAACTGTCACTTTCAGACCCTCCCAAACTTTTTCTCTATATAATTTAACTTTTTTCAGTGGTCAGTGGTCACCTATATTTCAGACAAAATTATCATTTCAACTTTAAACAACTGTCTTTTAAATGTTTTTAACTACCAATATAATCGATGCTCATTATCAAAGTCAAAATGAGAATCGGAACCAGTTTGAAATTGAGATCGTGCAATAAAAGATGCCTTCGTGAGTTGGATGTGTTCCACTCCTTTCAGTTTCCATTGAAAACCTTATCAACAACTTATTTCTCTACAATATCAACTATTTCAAATGTTTTCTTCAAGTAGAAGCGCCAGAACCCGCCATTTTTTTATTTGTCTGCTCACATTGATGACAACTCTAAAGATTTAAAACCCTGAAACAATTTGCTATGGGCGATGTTGAAATTGGAATTTTTTGGAACCTCTTTTAAAAGTCACCTCTCTTGAACGGTAATTTTTTATACTTCTCATGAGGGAACTGCTTAATACAGGTTTGACTGGTATATCTAAGTCTGGACTGGTATATCTAAGTCTGGACTGGTATATCTAAGTCTGGACTGGTATATCTAAGTCTGGACTGGTATATCTAAGTCTGGACTGGTATATCTAAGTCTGGACTGGTATATCTAAGTCTGGACTGGTATATCTAAGTCTGGACTGGTATATCTAAGTCTGGACTGGTATATCTAAGTCTGGACTGGTATATCTAAGTCTGGACAGTTTTCTTCATGTCAAAAATAATGTGTTTGTCTTTATTAATTTTCAAGGAGCTGGAAGAAGAGAGAAAATTGGAACAGAGAAGAATGAAGGATTTCAATGGATGGTTACAGGAAGTTAGAGGGAGGAGACAGGTTGGTTTGTTTTACCTACTTAACACTGTTTACTGTGGTTTTATACTGTTTCATGGCATCAGTTCTATTGATAGATCAGTGTCAGCATTAACCATAACCTCTGGTTAGTTCCTAAAAAATAGCATTAGTCATGGCCTTCTGTTAGTAACTGACAAATAAATACTAGCATTAAGCATGATCTTTGGTTAGTAACTGAGTAACAGATATCAGTATCAACCATGACCCTTGGTTAACAACTGAAAAACAGATATCAATATATAAACCATGACCCTTGGTTAACATCTGAAAAACAGATATCAGTATAAACCATGCGGTGCATTACATTTGCGCGCATTCTTTTACAGGTAAACTCAGGTAAATACAGGTAGATTATACTTATTTATTTATTTAACTATTATTTTCGAACAGGATAATATAAATAAGAAGATGTGGTATGAGTGCCAATGAGACAACTATCCATCCAAGTCACAATGCGTAAAAAGTAAACAATTATAGGTTGAAGTACGGCCTTCAACACAGAGCCTTGGCTCACACTGAACAAGTGCTATGAAGAGCCCCAAAAAAGACTAGTGTAAAACAATTCCAACAGAAAAACCAACGGTCTAATCTATATAAAAAACAAGAAACACTTATGAATCACACCAACAAACAACAACCACTGAACAATTGTGCACAAGCACTTAATCCTGGAAGTATAAACTCATAAAAATGTAAAAAAAACATAGTAAATCTAAAGGTTAAATTTGATTTTACATGTCGTAACCTGCACAAAATGACTTTCACCCTGATTTGTTTCTGACAAAGGAAACTCCATGTGTGTGCCCTGACGCAACTTTACAAACTTACTAAAATTATTTTTTAAATCCCTATTCGGTAGAATTATGAAACAGAATGCTATTTACTCTGAAATATTTGCAATTAACTTACATATATGTCTTAAGCTATTACAGGATTTCTCATGATCACTGTATATTTTTTTAGAATTCAATATGAAAAATATATAATTTTGATTTACAAATAGAACCTGTTCAAAATTCATATTAACTATAGACATATTTATTATGAATTATCTTTTATACCGGTAAAATGAATGTGCACAAATGTAATCAAAAGCTGCAAGCAATCATAAAAAATTTTAATCCCCAAATGTGCGCAAATGTAATGTGCCCAAACCATGACCCTTGATTAACCACTGAAAACAGATCTCAATAAATAAAAGCATGACCCTTGGTTAACAACTGAAAAATAGATATCAGTATAAACCATGACCCTTGGTTAACAACTGAAAAAAACTGATATCAATATAAACCATGACCCTTAGTTAACAACTGAAAAACAGATATTAGTATAAATGTTGACCCTTAGTTAACAACAGAAAAACAGATATCAGTATAAACCATGACCCTTGGTTAACAAATGAAAACACAGATATGAATATAAACCATGACCCTTGGTTAACAACTGAAAAAACAGATATCAATATAAACCATAACCTTTGGTTAACAACTAAAAACAGATATCAGCATGGTCAGTATAAACCATTACCCTTGGTTAGCAACTGAAAAAACAGATATCAGTATAAACATTGACCCTTGGTTAACAACTGAAAAACAGATATCAGTATAAACCATGACCCTTGGTTAACAACTAAAACAGATATCAGTATAAACTTTGATCCTTGGTTAACAACTGAAAAACAGATATCAGTATAAACAAGGGATGTCAATGATAACTCAAGTACTTTGATATTGCTCAATAGTATTAATTATCAAAAGGATAGTCGAATAATCTGTTACCTGCCAGGACATATTTTAGATGTTAGATATATAAATCCTTGGTTTCCTGTTAGTACATTTTCTCCTTCTTTTCATGACTTGTTTATATTGAGAACGCCTCTTGGATAATTAAAAAGTAATCACTGATTACTCATAGTTACAATACGTTTTGCTAAATTGTGGTTTAAAATAAAATGCATGAGAAATCTTCCGTTTGGAAATACTTTATATGAAGTGTCAATTTTGTGGAGTTCAATTTACAAATTGTTTGAGGATGTCAGTCATCCACACATTTTAAAAGTGCAAGTTATTAGTAGGACTCAATAATGTTTATTTTATGCTTATTATTTGTATGTTTTTTTTATTACTCTGATAGATACAAAAAACTTTTGAAAAATGATTCAGAATAAAAGTTACAAGATATTTATACAACTTCGGTGTCTTTCAAATTTTTGAAACTACCGGGTATTTTAAAATTATTTGTATTTTATATGCAGAAATTACTAGATGCCAGATCATCAAGAAAACAGAAGAAATCAGACATGGCAAAGAGGAGGACATTAGCTTCTCAACAGAGAATGAAAATCATAACACAGTTAGCTGCAGGTAGTCACTTACTAGACGAACAATGAGGGGTTCTGCACAGGGTTTATTTTTTACATTGCTTAATTTTGTTCTCAGTTTAAAGAATATATTGTACAGAACTGTGAGTGTAATCAATATTCTCCTTTTACACAATTATCATGAAGTGCTCATATGATAACTGATTTCGATATATATGTATGACTGCATGAGTTTGAATTTTTGTTGGATGTTGTATGTTAGGTTTCCGTATATTATATTTATTTTCACCAGAGAATTCAATTGTTGACATAAAACATGAACGTAATGTGCATATTTAAATGTGTTTAACTATGTTGAAAGATGTGCACTATGATAAAAACATGAATTGTTAAGTCTGTAAGAAATCCCTATAAGATTTCCATTGATTTTTTGCAAATTGGGTACTTGGTGCCATTTCGGTACTGTGACATTTTGTACAAAGTTCAAATGATATTTTTATTGGATTCTTTCTATTCACTTAATTGTGTTAATTGTAACTTCCTTTTTCTTTTGATATTAATCATGAAATCCAATAAACTAATTAAATACCTTTTTTATTTTGTTATGTTTTAAAATTATATTTAGTGAATTCTTTTTTCTTTCTGATATTTTATAGGAGAAAGTGGTTCGGCAAAGAAGAAAGTAGATACATTTGGACAGAATGATGCGGACTGGGATGTTTATAAGGAAATTGTGAGTTTTTAATATTGTTAAATCAGAGGTTTGTAAGAATATTATGAGATTTTGCATTATAACTGTGCATATTCTAATAGATTTGCTCCTTTCACAATACAGTTAACTTTAATATTTTACCAAGTTCCATCATCTCTTCACAAACTTATCAGCTGATGTTGTAATGGCTTCATACTTTCAACCTTTCACAATGAGGTTAATCAGAGGAATTCAAACAGCAACTTGGTAAAACATTTATGCCTTTTGGGATTGTGAAAGGATCAAAGCTTTTCAAATATGCACAGTAATTCAGAAAATTATTATAAAATTTTTAGATTTTGTCATTGTTATATCAGATGTTTATTAGAAAATTGTAAGATATTGTCATTTTTGTCGAGCCTTTGACTTTTGTCGAAAAAGCGAGACATAGCGATCCTACATTCCGTTGGCGTCATCGTCGTCGGTGTCCACAAATATTCACTCTGTGGTTAAAGTTTTTGAAATTTTAATAACTTTCTTAAAATATCCTGGATATCTACCAAACTTGGACAGAAGCTTGTTTATGATCATAAGATAGTATCCAGAATTAAATTTTGTAAAAAAAAAATTCCTGTTTTTCCGTATTTTACTTATAAATGGACTTAGTTTTTCTGCCAGGAAACATTACATTCACTCTGTGGTTTAAGTTTTTAAAATTTTAATAACTTTCTTAAACTATCCTGGATTTCTACCAAACATGGACAGAAGCTTGTTTATGATCAAAAGCTAGTATCTAGAAGGAAAGTTTGTAAAAAAAAAATCCCTGTTTTTCCTTTTATTACATATAAATGGACTTAGTTTTTCTTCCAGTTAACATTACATACAGTCTGCAGTTAAAGTTTTTAAAACATTTATTAGATTCATAAACTATCCTGGATTTTTACCAAACTTGGACAGAAGCTTCTTACAATAAAAAATTGTATCGAGAGGAATATTTTTATTAAATTTTTTCCTGAACCCTTACGAATTTTTAAATTAGATGTTTGTATGAAAATTGTGAGATTTTGACATAGAAGAAACAGGCATTTAAAAGGCAACAGCTAGATTTTGATATTTCTGTTATAAAAATTGGGACAAAATTTTCACATTCAGTTTAAACTTTTAAAAGTTTTTAAAACACTTTTACTTTACCATATAAATAAGGTCAAACTGTGTTTCATATAGGAGCATTTTTGGCTGATTGCATGAAGTGCAGATCTATATGAAAATAAGGAGATGTGGTATGATTACCAATGAGAAAACTATCCACAAGAGTTCAAATGAAGTGGATGCAAACAGTTATAGGCAACCGTACGGCCTTCAACAATGAAAACCCATACTGTATGGTAAGCTATAAAAGGCCCCTACATGAAAAATGTGAAGCAATTCAAACAACATATTGCTTATATTAAAGTGAATATCAAACAGGCAGGAAGGAGGAAAGGGAATACCTGTTTTGTATAATCAATTCCTCCTACAGTTGTTTACGGAAGACCTTTAAAATACATTGACAATTTGTGGTCAAACTTTCTAGAATGTTTGTATATACATATATACATTGACAATTTGTGTTCAAACTTTCTAGAATGTTTGTGTATACATTGACAATCTGTGCTCCGACTTTGGGAATTTTTGCAGATGTTTTGAGATGTTTAAACCTGGTCAATTTTCCACAATATTCTAGGTGGAGGTTACAGATTTTTGACAAACTTGTACAATTTAACTAAAAGAAAGAATGGTTGGTTTTCATAAGTTTTGCTGATTTGTAGAAATCAGAAGATATTACCTTTCAATAGTAGCATTGGAATTGATGCTCACAGAAGCTTATCAAATACAAGTGACATTACCTTTTATCATCTTTATGTTGATTTCAAACTACATGCATGAATAGTTTTGTTTTTTAGAGCAATTAAGAATATTTTTGTGTTTACACATTATGATTATAGAATAAAATACCCAAAAAATATTATGTACAATGTAATGTCAAACACATATATTTTGTAGATAGTAATTTGAAATACAAATAATTTTTCTTGGAAATGTTTTACAGCATCCACAAAATGCAGACAGTGATTCAGAAGTGGAAGAAGAACAGATAGAAGAATTAGAGGCCATGTTGAGGGAACATGATCCAGAGTTTCAGAAGTATGGTAACATCCAAAATATTTATATTTTAAGTGATAATGTATAAAGTTATTTTCATACTTTTGAAAGATTTATTTATGAATAAAAGAGACGAAGAGTATGATTACATAAAAAAGACAGTAACGGTACAAAAACACTGGTACACCACAACCCACTCATGGTATTGACAGTTGTTATACTTTGTTTGAACCTTTTTTTTTATCTAGAAATCCTCTTTTTTTATTGGAAATTATTTTGACAGAAAAATGGATAATTATGCTGATGAATCAACAGATATAGTTTTAAAAATTCGTAAGGGTTCCGCGGAACCCAGTGTCTCGCCTACTTTTTCTGTTAATCGTAGGCACTACAAAAATGAGGAAGTAAATCAATAAAAATATTCCACTTCATAATATCTTTTGATTGTAAGAAGCTTCTGTCCAAGTTTGGTAAAAATCCAGGATAGTTTATGAATCTAATAAATGTTTAAAAACTTTAACTGCAGACTGAATGTAATTTTATCTGGAAGAAAACAAAATTTCCTTCTAGATACTAGCATTTGATCATAAACAAGCTTCTGTCCAAGTTTGATACAAATCCAAAATAGTATAAGAAAGTTATTAAAATTTTAAAAACTTTAACCTCAGAGTGAATGTGTTGTTTCCTGGCAGAAAATCTAAGTCCATTTAAAAGTAAAATACGGAAAAAATAGATTTATTTTTTTACAAAATTTCCTTCTAGATACTAGCTTTTGATCATAAACAAGCTTCTGTCCAAGTTTGGTACAAATCCAAAATAGTATAAGAAAGTTATTAAAATTTTAAAAACTTTAACCACAGAGTGAATGTGTTGTTTCCTGGCAGAAAATCTAAGTCCATTTATAAGTAAAATAAGGAAAAAATGGATTTATTTTTTTACAAAATTTACTTCTGAATAATATCTTATGATCATAAACAAGCTTCTGTCCAAGTTTGGTACAAACCCAGGATAGTTTAAGAAAGTTATTAAAATTTTAAAAACTTAAACCACAGAGTGAATGTAATATTTTCCGGCAGAAAAACTAAGTCCATTTATAAGTAAAATACGGAAAAAATGGAATTTTATTTTTACAAAATTTAATTCTGGATACTATCTTATGATCATAAACAAGCTTCTGTCCAAGTTTGGTAGAAATCCAGGATAGTTTAAGAAAGTTATTAAAATTTCAAAAACTTTAACCACAGAGTGAATATTTGTGGAAGCCGCCACCGCCGACGGAATGTAGGATCGCTATGTCTCGCTTTTTCGACTAAAGTCGAAGGCTCGACAAAAATGTAGGTTCATAACAACTGCAAATGTTGAAATATGGAAAGTAGAATATGTTTTAGCATTAGACATTCTTAGAATAATTAATACAAGAATGAAAATGTCAAACAATATTCAATGTGTACCCAACAATACATAAAACAAATGCATGAGTGAATTATCAGTTGTTCTGTCACAAGCTGAGTATATTTAGATATTTGAATTCATTTATTACATTGACTTTTAATGTAAATTAAGTTGACAATGCAAGGAAATATATCTTTTTCTTCTTGTTCTGACTCCATTTTGAAGTAAAGTCATTGACCTCATCTGTTATTATACCTTACATATCTGATAAACAATTCTATTGGGTAACACATTATTATGTGACATGGATGTTCATTAAATGCAAAGGCAGGACAGGTAACCCTAAAAAATGTGATATATTGGTTTTAATCTGATTAGGAAATCAAAGCATTTCATTGAAACCACTGTGATCCCCTTAAAATTTACTATTGATGTAATTTATTTTGTCCAAAAATTAAGACACTGTCTCATCAGATACAAAACACAAGATGATGTAGCTTTGATCTGTTAACTTCTTTCATTTACATTACAAAAACAATTATGACATTTTATATTTAAACATTTATTCTTTATTTGATTGATCGAAGAATCAGTTTCATACAAGCGTATTTGATTTCACAGAGAATTAGACCTGGGAGGTTCTGAGGAATTTGATATTGCTGAATATTACAGACTCCACCTGGCAATAGAAAGAGTAAGGTAAGTGGTAAAACTTTACTTATCCATTTGTAAAACCTTATATGTTCTCTAAAATCTATATCTAAAACAATGAAAAGTTATTTAAATAAAAACAAGTACACAAAAAAATAATGAACACCACTATAAAATGTACTGCATCAAAGATGTCAATATGTTGCTAACAGGTAGCAAGTACTTAACCTGTTGATATGATCATGATGTCCAGTGAAGATCTTCTTTAACAAAGTCAACAATGGAATTTTCAGTCTCATTTGTATTTTGAATGAGGCTGGAGATTATGAAATGGATATTTTTGTGGCAGTTGGCTGTAATGAAATTCAATAAAATCTTTTTAGAAGTATGTTTTGATGTATTTGTACAATTTTAAATCGTAAAACTGATGTGCTTCCAAAATTTTTGCTTTGTTTAATAAAAATGGCTGCCTTTTAATTCGTCCTATGTCGAAAAAAAAAAGTCTGAATTTTCCTATTAGAATCAAAATAAATCTTTCCTGTTATATTCAATACTATATTTACCACCTTGCTAAGGTTCTTATTAATAATCTTTATAAAGATATTGACAAATAAAGCCTACCCATGTTAAAAGTAGCATGACATGAAAGAAGAATTATTTTAGAAATGGGAATTGCTATGTTTAATAAAAGATTTTGGACACTATAATATTCTTCATTTAAGTGTTAACCGATCTTAAAAGACTACACAATAAATTAGTAAGTTATTTTTCAGATATATCCACTGGAGTAAATTCAGCACTTTTTAAACACTTAGCTCAGAGTCAATTAAAACCTGTTCAGTTGATTTTCAGAATGTAATGTAGGTGTTATTTACCAGTGCATTATTAAGTCTCCCAAACGAAGTTTGGGAAGACTTATTGTTTTTGCTCAGTTCTTATTATTATTATTATTCTTCTTCTTCTTCTTCTTCCGCCGCTTTTAAATTTGAACTTGTCCGCACCTGTTCTCCAAAACCGCTTGTCAGATTAACTTAGGGTTTCACAATATGTTAGACTAACATGTCTAGTGGTGCAATCAGGGTTTTGTTTGTGCAATGGGGTTTATAAAGGGGTACTTTGAGGGGCAAAAAGAAAAGAGGGTTTTACTATAGAACCCTATGGGATTTTATTTTTTAAAATTTTCAAATGATTATAAATTGAAAACCGTTTGTGATAGACACAATCTTTTTAATTGAAAATGTTTTAAATGATAAAGCCCATTTAATGAAATACAGGGTTAGTCCCCAGGGGTCACCCCCACCCCCTGCCATTTAAGAAAGTTCTAATATCTTGTAAGTGGTCAAGATCCCCACCCCTAAACCATATATATTCTGGTTTGTCATGCTAAGATGGTTTGAATGATATACAGGGTTAGTCCCCAGGGGTCATCCCGACCCCCTGCCATTTGAGAAAGTTCTAATATCTTGTAAATGGTCGAGATCCCCACCCCTAAACCATATATATTCTGGTTTGTTATGATAAAGCACATCAAATGAAATACAGGGTTAGTCCCCAGGGGTCACCCCCACCCCCTGCCATTTAAGAAAGTTCTAATATCTTCTAAGTGGTCAAGATCCCCACCCCTAAACCATATATATTCTGGTTTGTCATGCTAAGATGGTTTGAATGATATACAGGGTTAGTCCCCAGGGGTCATCCCGACCCCCTGCCATTTGAGAAAATTCTAATATCTTGTAAATGGTTGAGATCCCCACCCCTAAACCATATATATTCTGGTTTGTCATGATAAAGCACATCAAATGTTATACAGGGTTAGTCCCCAGGGGTCACCCCCACCCCCTGCCATTTAAGAAAGTTCTAATATCTTCTTAGTGGTCAAGATCCCCACCCCTAAACCATATATATTCTGGTTTGTCATGCTAAGATGGTTTGAATGATATACAGGGTTAGTCCCCGTGGGTCATCCCGACCCCCTGCCATTTGAGAAAGTTCTAATATCTTGTAAATGGTCGAGATCCCCACCCCTAAACCATATATATTCTGGTTTGTCATGATAAAGCACATCAAATGAAATACAGGGTTAGTCCCCAGGGGTCACCCCCACCCCCTGCCATTTAAGAAAGTTCTAATATCTTGTAAGTGGTCAAGATCCCCACCCCTTAACCATATATATTCTGGTTTGTCATGATAAAGCACATCAAATGAAATACAAGGTTAGTCCCAGGGGTCACCCCCACCCCCTGTCATTTAAGAAAATTCTAATACCTTGTAAGTGGTCAAGATTCCCACCCCTAAACCATATATATTCTGGTTTGTCATGCGAGGATGGTTTGAATGATATACAGGGTTAGTCCCCAGGGGTCATCCCGACCCCCTGCCATTTGAGAAAGTTCTAATATCTTGTAAATGGTTGAGATCCCCACCCCTAAACCATATATATTCTGGTTTGTCATAATAAAGCACATCAAATGTTATACAGGGTTAGTCCCCAGGGGTCACCCCCACCCCCTGCCATTTAAGAAAGTTCAAATATCTTCTAAGTGGTCAAGATCCCCACCCCTAAACCATATATATTCTGGTTTGTCATGCTAAGATGGTTTGAATGATATACAGGGTTAGTCCCCAGGGGTCATCCCGACCCCCTGCCATTTGAGAAAGTTCTAATATCTTGTAAATGGTTGAGATCCCCACCCCTAAACCATATATATTCCTGTTCGTCATGTAATGAACATTTGAATGACGTATAGGGCCAGTCCCCAGGGGTTCCTCCCCACCCCCAATGTTCTAGTATCTTGTAAATGGTCGAGATCCCCACCCCTAAACCATATATTTTCTGGTTTGTCATGCCAAGATGATTTGAATGATATACAAGGTTAGTCCCCAGGCATCACTAATGCATATAACTTTACTGGACCAAACCAATTTTCACTGGACATTGCCCAATGTCAGGCGACCCTGGGAATTACGAATAATGGGAGCTTCGTTTGGGAGACTTCGTAACAGCATCCTGTTACATTCATTTCTTGTTTCAGATTATATTTATAAGTAAAATGAATGTAGGTTCCAGTTTTGATCTTATATATAACTGTTGTTTGGATGTATTTTTACCCATCTTGTTGCCATATAATTACAGGGTACCAGAACTATTATTTCAGCCATCAATGATTGGTGTAGAACAAGCTGGTATTGTAGAAACTATGGACTTTTTATTGCATAAATATGACCAAGAAAAACAGAAACTGCTAGTTCAGGTAAATTTTTATTGTAATGATTGTGTAGATCCAAGAACACAGTATTAAGTTTGTTTTATATTTAAAATATGTACATTTATTCATCTAGTTCTAGAAACAGTTATGAACCAAATGAAATGGTACGATTTGCTTTTTTATAAAGAACTAGAATTTTACTGAAGTGTTCCAACTTTCACAGTAAAAGTGAAATCACTCACACACAATTTGAAGTTTGTCAGTAAGTCATAAGACAACTTTTGTATGATTTTATACCTTGCTTGAATTTAATGTTTGTATATTTTTCTTAGCCTTTGTTTAATTCTGAATCTTAATTTTAACTTTATTAGAATATTTCTGAAATGCAGAATATTAGAAAAAAACTTGAAGCATATGTAGTTATGACTGTCATTAGGTAATGACATAACATTTTCATATTGACTGTAGCCGTGTCTCTCTGCCAATATCAAGACTACAGACTAAAGCCTATTGTCCTTGAGGATTTGCAAGATGATACTAAGGTTGACTTAGAAAAGCTTGTGTGAAATTTATCACTCCTCCTACTTTTGGTGTTATTATTTTTCTTTTATACATCTTTTTTCTTATTACATTCTATATTTTTCTGTATTTTTTTTTACATAAATCTATGTATTTGTTAAAAAATGATAACATCTTATTAAGTATAAGTATTGTATCTACAGAATGTTTTCCTAACTGGTGGTAATGCATTGTTTATGAATTTCAAGGAGAGATTAGAAAAAGAGTTGTTAGAGATGAGGCCATTCCAATCAATGTTCTCAGTTACCAGAGCAGGTATTCTTACAAAGTCTTGATAATTAATGATTTCAAATACAAGAGTGGATATTCTCCAAAAGTTGTATTCTCCAAAAGTCTAAACAATCAATGTTCTCAGTTACCAGAGCAGGTATTTTTACAAAGTCTTAATAATCAATGTTCTCAGTTTCCAGAGCGGATATTCTCCAAAAGACTGAATAATCAATGTTCTTAGAAACAGGAGTAGGTATTCTCCAAATGTCTGAACAATCGATATCCTTAAGTTACCAGAGAAGGTATTTTCCAAAAGTCTAAACAATCATTATTCTTACTTACTAGAGAAGATATTCTCAGAAGTCTAAACAATCAATGTTCTCAATTACCAGAGCAGATATTCTCCAAAAGTCTAAACAATCAATGTTCTACGTTACAAGAGAAGGTCAAGTCAAGGTCACATTTGCTAAGATAGCTATTATATTGTGACAATATTCAATATCTTGGTTCTGGGATGAATTTAGATTTTTGTGGAATATTTTATTAGGCATTGTAACCCCTGACTTCAGGGAAACAGGGATCAGGAGGGGCTTCTGTATATCAAGACTCTGCAAGAAGCATTTATAACATGTGACACAGCTATATATATTTCTAGATGAAATCGCTTACAATATATAGAAATAAAGAGATGTGGTATAACTGTCAATGAGAAAACTATCTTCAAGAGACGTAAGGATGTAAACTACTACATTTCCCCCTTATAGCCTTCAACAATGAGAAGACTATCTTCAAGAGACGTAAGGATGTAAACTACTACATGTCCCCCCTATAGCCTTCAACAATGAGAAAACTATCTGCAAGAGACGTAAGGATGTAAACTGCTACATGTCCCTTCTATAGCCTTCAACAATGAGAAAACTATCTTCAAGAGACATAGATGTAAACTACTACATGTCCCCCCTATATCCTTCAACAATGAGAAAACTATCTTCAAGAGACGTAAGGATGTAAACTACTACATGTCCCCCTAATAGCCTTCAACAATGAGAAAACTGTCTTCAAGAGACGTAAGGATGTAAACTACTACATGTCCCCCCTATATCCTTCAACAATGAGAAAACTATCTTCAAGAGATGTAAGGATGTAAACTACTACATGTCCCCCCTATATCCTTCAACAATGAGTAAACCCATTATGTATTATATAATTTAAACTATTTAAGTAATAGTATTAGGCATGTGCTCTCAGACCTGACAGATAAGCAAGGGTCAGGGGAACCTTTGCCAAATTTTGTAAGGATGGATGAAATCTCTTGAAATATAATAGTTTTAAAAAAAAATGTTGGCATGTTGTTTTTTTTTTGTTACAGTCATTCAATTATAATTGTCAGATAAACAATGATATAGCATTATTGACTAAATTTCAGAAGTTACCTTTGGCATACCCTTTTCTTATTAAAGAGTCTGCTTTGATATAAAAGAGAAAATGTGGTATGATTGTCAATGAAATGACTATGAACTAAAGCACAAGGCTGCAAACTACAGGGTATTGTATGGCCTAGGCCTTCTACATGAAAAACAGTAAAGATATTAAAAGCTCCAGGATAGTAAAGTGGGCTATTTTAAAACATCTGTTCTTATTCTAGATCTATTATTTTGTGCTATATCACTAACATTATATGTCTTTTTGTAGTTGATCCAGTATTAGATGCCTGGAAAGGAGCAAGAAAATTTTCCATTTCACCAGACCGGTCTCTTTACAGTATGACAAAGGCAGACTACACAGAAATGGGAGGAGAATACCTTAAAGAACATTCACTTTCTAACAGATACTTCCCTTCTCCTGTATCAATAAAATTAGAAAAATAATACTAAGTAGTTTTTGTTTCACCTTGACAAAGTTGAAAAAAGTAAAACTTAGGTGTACTGTTTCCAGCGGCAGCAGTGTCAACAATGTATTAATTTGTGATTAGGTCAGTTCAAGGGGAACCACTATTGGTATAACAATGATATTTGGTATGCAGTTGTATAAGCATTGGTACATCTCATTTCCATGGAGATTATTTGGCCCTGACTTTGGAACTTTTGCATAGTTCAAATTTTAAAGTTTGTGATTAGGTCAGTTTCAGATCTAGATGAACCAGTAAGTTATATTTGGTATGCACTTGAATTAGCATTTGCATTTCTCATTTCTATGGAGATTATTTGAACCCGACCCCTCATCATGGTTTATTGACTTTGGATCTTTTCCACACTGTAAATTCAGAAATTATATCGTGGATTTTATTAATGTGAATAATGCGACTGGGTGAGTATTGCAATATTAGAACCTGCATTCTGATATCTGCAGTATGCAGATTTTCCTGAAATTGCAAAAATAAACTTGCATTTTTGTCCATTCTTCATAAATCGCAATAATAAGTGCATGCAATAATTTCTGAATTTACAGTAGCTTACATGTTAAAATTCTGTTTAGGTTAGTTTAAAGGGAACTACTTATGATATGTCATAAAGGTGAGACATATCTCTTTATTGTCCCCTGCGCAATGCTTTACAGGGGAACATAGAAATACCGGTGTTTGTCCGTCCGTCCGGTCTTGTTAGCGCTCTCACGTGTACAATTCTTGGCAGATTTCTATAAATCTTATATCATAGGTTTATATCAGCAATGTCTCGAACAAGTTCAAAAATCAGTGCCGATCAATTATTTTTCATAGAATTATGACCCTTGGAAACATTAAATATATGGAAAATTGCATCATTAGCACTCTCATGTGTACAATTCTTGCCAGATTTTTATTAAACTTATATTGTAGGTTTATATCAGCAATGACTCAGCTGAGTTCGAAAATCAGTGCTGATTAATTATTTTTAAAAGAGTTATGCCCCTTGGAAATATTAATTATATGGAAAATTACATGGTTTGTGCTCTCATGTGTACAATTCTTGCCAGAATTTTATGAAATTTATATCATAGGTTTATATCAGCAATGTCTTTGACACTTTCGAAAATAAGTGCTGATCAAATATTTTTAACAGGTTATGCCCCTTGGAAATATTAATCATATTTGAAATCACATTGAATTTGCTCTGAAGCATTCATTTCTTTAAGATATTTATGAGCAGTTTTAAAGAACAAAAAAAAAGTGTATGTATTAGTTATTGCCCTTGATCCTTGGATAGATAAAATATGTGCAATTCGGGGGACATTGGAACTCTGTTCTTTTATTACATTGGTTGCAATGAATTACTGTGATTTCCCAATAAACAACATTTTCACAACTGCAGTTTGTGTTTCTGTCTGTCTGTCCATCACATAACATCTGGTCACATTTTCCAAGGAATTTCAAATCAGGGCTTCCTCAAATATTGAATCAAGCTTCATGAGAGCATTCTATTCTGTGTGGCATTTACAGATTCATGGTTAATCTACTTTCTATCTATCAAATACCTATAATTTCGTTCACATATTGGCCATGTATGGAATTTTGGTTGTGCTTTTTACCAGTAACTACAAATCGGAGCTTCCTGAAATTCGGTATCAAGCTTCATGTAAGAATGCTATACTGTATGTATACATTTTCAGATTCATTGGTTATCCACTACCTGTTTACCAAATACTTATTTATTCTTACACTTAATGCCCATTTAACAAATTTTAGTCACATTTTCTCAGGAACTACAAATCTTAATTCTGATGCATATACATTCTTATTTTGTAAATATCAACCATGATTTTTCTATCCTTTATAATTAAGATATTCAAAATGATGAAAGAGAGGCTGAAGACTGACAAGGCCATGACAACAAATGAAAAACAGTGAAAAGACAAACAACAGTCTACAAAACATAGAAAACTAACAACACAAAAACTCCATCAAAAACTTGTGGTGATCTCAGGTTTTCTGGAAGGATCAGCAGATCCGGCTCCACATGTAGCAACAGTGGTGTTGCTTCTTATTGGGTGATGTAACATTCCAGGAAATTAATTAGGGCCCCGCCGAATGGCGGCCGCCCTATAGTGATCAGTCTGTCTGTCCGTCTGTCCGTACGTCTGTCCATCCGTCCGTAACAAATTGTGTCCGCTCTATATCTTGAGAACCGTTATGATTTCCTGACTAGGTCAAAGGTCAAGGTCAAAAACTTTGGTTTTAGTTGACAACCCCATGTCCTATGGTAAAGATCGTGTCCGCTCTATATCTTGAGAACTGTTATCAGTTCAAAGTTTATACTTGATATGTATATAAACCAACACCAGAGGGTGTGTCATAATTTATGTACAACTTCCTAGGTCAAAGGTCAAGGTCAAAAACTTTGGTTTCATTTGACAACCCCATGTCCAATGATAAAGATACAAATTTTTTACCACACATTATTCACAGAGGGGCCCACAGAGATGGCTCCCATCTCAATGATATCTAGTTATAGCTAATTTCAATAATAAATTCTATTGGTTGATGAATGTTATTCAGTAATTTATGAAAAGTTTTTGAAATATTTTCTTACTTATTAAAATTAATGAAGCAATCCATTGCCAGTATGTTTTCGAAAATTCAATTCATCAGCAAATATCATAAATAGTTTTGGCTTTTGAACTGAGAAGTATTACTGTCCAAAATTATTTTGTAAGCTTCAAGAAAACTTTTTTGAAAAAGAAACTTAATCATATCTCCATGTTGGTGTAGCTTCCAGTCCTAACTGATTCAGTATAATAGTATACAAACTGGTTACAACCCAGCTTATTTGTAAAAAATGACATTCTACCTGACTTGGTAAATGATTGGGAAAAAAAAGATTTGCACAAAATGACAGAGCCGTTTCACAATAATACTGAAACAGTTGCTTAGTCTATATGTTTAGCTCTGGGATCATGCAAATATCGCCAAATATCGGTCCAAACTTTAAATTGCTGGTGAAAAAAAAACAAGTATGTATATATTGTTTTGTTGGGAAACAGTATCTTGGATTTATTTTTACAAGCCGTCAAAAATACTAGCTTTTACTCCAAATTGCAGGAGAAATCCTTTTCTTTTTCCGTGAATTGGTCAGGATATTTTCCAATATTTTTTTTTTAATAATCCACATGATTGTTTTGTCAATACTAGCTTTATCTTTGATGACAAAAGTAGCAGAATGCTAGAAATAGGGATGCTAACTAGTAACCTGTGGTGGCAGCGCCAATATTGTGAACTATTTGCATAAAGCTTTATATTTTTATATTTGTCTCATTTTCATGGTTCAATGACTGCTTAAAAAACTACATTTTTTTGGCATGTGAATTTCTCATTTACATGAGTAATAGGATAACTATATTTGGTTTATTGATCTACATAACCGTCAGACAGGGTTCAACTGACCTTTACCTCATTTCATGGATCAGTGGTCAAGTTAAAGTTTTTGCAATAAGGTCCATTTCTCAGATACAATCAGTAAAAGGTCAACAATTTTTAGTGTATTGATTGATTGTAAGATGCACATGTCCGCCTGACGGGTTTCGTTTGACTTTGACCTCATAGTCATGATTCGATCGTCAAACTTGCTAAGTTTTGTTGGTTTGGTTCGTTTTTTCAGATATTATAAGGAACACGTCATCTATCTTAATGTATGGAATGATTGCAAGGTGTACACGTCTGTTTGGCAGGTTTCATCCGACACTGACCTCATTTGAATAGTTCATTTTTAGCCAATGTTAAGTTTTCATGTTTCAGTCTGTTTCTCGGATACTATAAGCAATAGGTCATCTATGTTTAGTGTATTGAATGATTGTCAAGTATACATGTCTTTCCTACATGTTTCATATGATCTTGACCTCATTTTCATGGTTCATTGGTCAATAATTAGTTTTCGTGGTTAGGTTTGCTTCTCAGATACTATAAGCAATCGGTCAACTATATTTGGTGTATGGATATATTATAATGTTTAAACGACTGTATGGCAGGATTTATGGAACCTTGACCTCAATTTTATGGTTCATTGACACATATGGTCTTACATAATGCCGATACTTATATTTTGTTATTGCACAAGGTCATGCTTTTCCTAAACAGCTGATGGCGTCTTTATATTAAATCCGTTGCAGATGTACTTATTTATATTTTAGTCTAATAAAAATAAGTCCGTAATCTTAAACTAAAGTCAGGTTTATGTCCATATAAATATAAATACAGATCATGATATTAATCGAATTTGGACTTTGAACTAGCGATGCGTACTCTTAGGTCGCTGTTTGTTTCTTTTGTCATTTTGTTTGTTGTTTTTGTGCTTATTTCAGATCTGCTCAGTATAGATCCAAATAAAACTCGTCACTGGCACTCGGGAATCAAAACATTTGGAAGGCAAAATCAGTTATGAAGTTGAAGAGCCTAGAAAACAAAATTCCAAAACTTTATACCTTATGAAATATAAAACTTTAAATTGAACTAGCTAGTTTACGCCGCCTCCACCGGATAAGCATTCGACATACATGTTAGGCATGTTAGGTGTACAGGTCTGTCTAGTAGGGTTTATCTGACCTTGACCTCAGTTTCACGAGTCTTATGCATGTTGTACAAATTGTGTGTTGGTAGGGCTTCACTGTAAATATTTGCGCAATACATGTCGAATGGTGGAGGGAGTAGCAGCAATGTACACAAAGAGAGCACCCGTTCTACACAGGAAACTATGGTTAGATGTCGAATGGTGACGGGTGTATATAAAGAGAGCACCTGCTGTACATATACAAATATGGTTCCTCTACAAAGGTTTTTTTTTTAATTCTAGTTAGATTTGATTAGATTATGTGCACTGATCAATATTAAGTTTTAAGATAAGGTCACTCATATGCTATAAGCATCGGGTCAACTAGATTTGGTGTATGAAATGATTATAAGGTGCACATATCAGTCTTGCAGGTTCTTCTAACTTTAGCATCTTTTGCATGGTTCATTGGTCAACATTCTTTAAGCAATAGGTCAACTACATTTGGTGTGTGGAATTATTGGAATGTGCACATACCCGTCTGACAGGGTATATTTGAGCTATACATTACTTTTTTGGATCTTGATAATATTCAGTTTATGTGATATCTGTATTAAAACCTTCATCTTAAAGACTTTTGAACATAAAATTCAATCATTCTAAGTAAAGCAGGCGAGACATCTTAGCGTGTGCACTCTTGTTATGCGTCATAATGCTGTTACGTGGTCACAGTTGTACATGTATGCACATGATAACAGTAGTATTTGCAATCTCATAGTTGACCTTGCTTTTTACCAGTTTACTAAATCACTACATGATAAAATAGTGATATCAATACAGATAAAAACATGAAAATAAAAATATTTTATGAAACTAGTGTAAACAGGTAAGAACCTTTTGACAGTCTAAATACAGCTTGGAGCATTTCTGATGAAGGTAAATCATGAAAAGCGCTTCGGACGCATGCAATTTCTTAGGTGTTGTTTTCATTTTTTGGATGTAGAATTCGGGTTTGAGATATTCAAATTATGCCTTCCTGTTGACAGAGCGCGCTCTGGATATTGAACCGGACATTCTTAAATGCTGCATATCATGATATTCCTGTAGTATCCAGTCAGTAGATATTTTCTTTTGATTTTTAATACAATCATAAGATATGTCTTTAACAATCTATTTACAATCATTTAACCAAAATTTAAGATAATACGATGATAAAGGTAAAGATATGACACGCGACAGTTACTGAGGTTACGAATCAAAGTCAGCACATCTGGATCATAATTCAAGTGCAACAAAGAAAATAAAACCCAAAATAGAGAAGATGGGATATTCCACAGCTGTAACGAAGTACTATGAAAAACAAAAGTGAAGACAGGTAGATCTTAAAGTCATATAGTTAAAATATAACAAAAACCTATTTTCGCGGAGACAATGCCTCCAGCAGCTGCAGAATAAACTGTTGCGTGAATTGTAAGTAATGCTGCAACCATAACAGCACCGATATCATCTGTCTCATACTCGCAATCCGGTACTAGGCACTCCACTTCAGGCATGTAGTTTTCAAAAGTGTTGAAACATCTCCATCATAAATGATTATAACAAAGTTTTCTGATTGGAGATCTATAAAATAAATCAATGAATTAACAATAATCATTTGGATATTCCTCTAGCATGTCTAGTTGTGAAGTTTGATTATTGTTTTATCTTTCAGAATATGAAATAATATGGCGACAGAAGCGGCAGTGGTAAGTCTTACTAGTTTGAATATTAATAGCATAACATGCAACGTATATAATAGAACTAACAAATAGATGAGGGCGAGGCTA